AGATGTCATTTTCACCATAATTTTTTCTGCTCTATCGAATGTATATGGGCTCGATCCGGAAGTATTGGGACACCTGAGACGTGTCCCTCGTTAGATCAACGAGATTAGTCATATCATTTTGACTAAATTACAACATCAAGTAACCTTTTCATTTCAGTCATTAATTCACTTAATTTTTCACTTTTTAATTTCCAATTGCTCCTTATATAATCTCATTTCATCTTGTCACCAATTAATTATAAATTAATGTTTAATTTGAATCTTTGATTTCTCAACTTGCACTTAAATTGTAAGGTTTGTCTTGCCAAATCCTAAGAAACAAGAAAACTCACAATTACTACAAATTGAATTGATAGCAATAAATTATTGAGAGTTATCGTTATATTTGCAAGTTATAATTTTTAAGAGTCAACAATAATCATATTTTTGTTGGTTGATTCTCTCTGCAACTTTGATTGTTCATTGTACTTGAAAAAAAAGCAAAACAAAAATTAATAATATTGTCTCTCCAAATTGGCTAGATTTTATCTGCAGCTAGTCATTGAAACTAATCTTAAGCATGATGAAAAATCTTAATGATATCCTGATCCTTTCTATCATCATCTCTATTTCACGGCATCATCACTATCTATTACTTTACCTTCCTGACAATCAATTAAAGTGATTGGAATAAAAATTGAAGAATCAAGTCTATGATCAAGTTGATTTCAGGCAAAAATCCTAGCAATGTATTAAACTATACCAGTAAGTATCATCAATAAAGGTTGCTTGAAGAAGATTAGTAAGAGCATGATGATGATGACGATGATGATGATGATCAAGGAAGGAAAGATAACCATGAAAAGATAGAGTAAGATTGACATAAGAAGGACCTTGCTGTGCAGATCTTTTGTTTTGTTAATCAATTAATCTTGAGTCGAATGTGTTGATTGTAATTGCGAATTCAGATAGAATTAAAGAAACAAAGCAAAAAAGAACATCTTTATCAATAGTTACACCATGATGATCAGAAAAAAACAAATCATTCCAATCTCGTCTCGTCTTGAATTTTTTTTGCGAAATTTTCCTTCCTCTTTTCCTTATCTCCATCTCTTAATTTACACTTGAGTTGTACACTCATTAACACAAGACAAACAATACTAATTCTGATTTTTCTGATTCTGTTTCAGGTTGCTATCAAAATAATTGATAAAACATGCCTTGATGCATCCAATTTAAAGAAAATTTGGAGAGAAATTGAAATAATGAAACGAATTGGTAAACATGATAACATCTTACGTTTATACCAAGTTATGCAAACCGATAAATACCTAATGCTGGTCACTGAATGGTGTCCTGGTGGAGAAATATTTGACCATCTAGTAGCCAATGGAAGGATGTCTGAACCTCAAGCTCGTGGATATTTCCTTCAAATCATTGGAGCAATTGAATATTTGCATAATAATGGGGTTGTTCATAGAGACTTAAAAGCTGAAAATTTATTGTTAACACATGATTTAAAGACAGTTAAAATAGCAGGTAATTTTTTGGAAAAGCTGACAAAAGCAACTTAAACAGTCGCAGAGATACACTTTACAGACCCAGGAAGCCATGAGTAAACCTTGACCAACCATCGGAGACTCATTAACCGGCTACATTATGCTCACCAGACTGTAATATTTTATTCAGTTTTACAGATGAGACTAAACTTGAAGGTTAAAAGCAATGAGGATGATGAGAGGCAAAAAAATTTGTAAAGGAAAAACGTTGAACCAGCAAAATCAAAAGACAAAACCATTGATTATGTTGAATGTTCACAATTTCAATTATCAGTGTATTTACAAATAGCTTCCTCTTTGAGTAGATTAGATTAATTTCAAGATTGATTAATTGTATTCTGTTAAGGTCAACCCGTTGTTTAAGTGTGTCTCTTTGCGATTTGTTATCTTGACAATTATTGTGAATTGGCAATTTGTTTCATCATTTTAGTAATTATTTTTTCTTTTTCTTTTTTTTTGTCAGATTTTGGTTTCAGCAACTATTTCAAACCAGAAAGTCTTCTAACAACATGGTGTGGTTCACCTCCTTATGCTGCGCCTGAACTGTTTGAAGGTAAACCATTTTCAATTGTGAATCAACAAATGATTTTACCAAGATAATTATCGACGTAAATAAGTTTTAAAGCAAGATCAAAGGTCTACTTTATGTACGTCATGATGAAGAGGATCATTATGAACATGGTCGTCATTACGATCGCACGGTACAACCGGTTGAATGAAAGCATGCAATGAGGAAAGGAATGTTTACTTACCATTTAAGTAAACATTTAATTTCATTCTTCTGTCTCATGCCTTTACCCTGTTTCACCGAGCACTAAGCCTAGCAAAATTACTTGCCTTGTTATCAACTTGTAATTTCTCGTATTTGGTTGCATTGTTCTTGGATGATTACTCAGTAACTGTGAGTCTCTGCAAGCAAAAAATGTGTTGAAATAATAAGTGTACAGATTGACTTTGGTTAAACTGTTAATGTTACATTCAAAGTCAAACTGTAATCAAACAACAAACATGAAATTGAATCGATATAGAATCAATATGATTTATGATGAAGGTCATTTACAAAAGATTTTATCATCGTATTCAGGAAAAAGTGAGAAAGCAAAGAATCTCTCAATTGAATGAATCAGTACAAAATGAATTACCTTTCAATTTCTCAACTCATTATTTCCAATTAAACTGGACTTAATTCAAGTTGAATGAAACATAAAAACAGAGAGTTGATTCGTTGAACAATTTACTCATATTATCCATATAAATATTCCCAATTAAGGAATACACGAAAATGTAAATCCATCATTGATACAGGCAGCAACTCAATTTTTTGTGTTGATCTTTTTCAAGGTTTATTTTGCCTTAAAAGCCTTGAGTTTATGAGGCTCTTTGTGATTATTTTGCTTCTATTGCCTCTAATACTCTACCTTATATTTCCTCCATTAACTTTAAAAAAACAATCAGCTAATTGTAAATCATCTCACAACTGATATCAAAAGAGATTTGTCAGTGATTCATTTAAAAAAATAGCAATCAAGTTGAAATGATTCAACTTATCCGATCAATTGAAACTCAAATTATCGACTAATTTGACAAGAAAAAATTACCAACCAAAGTATCAAAAAAATATATTAATGATTATATTAATTTATATCAATCAGTTTTGTGAGTTTAACAAAAAAAATCAGGTTTCAAGTTCATCAGTTGTAACGGTTTTGTGTTATCATTATACATTTGCCATTGAACTATCTTCAAGAACAGCATGATTACTGGCCAGCCTCAGGGATTATTTCAATCTTACCCTATTTTCAATGGTTACAACCTTTTTCAGTTTACTTTCTCATGATAGTTTCACTATAAAAATGATTAGCTATTGATGTCACATTGTATTATTACCTTTCTAGGTCAGCCAATAATCATATTCATCCAGATTAATTAGATGAATTGACATTTGTCTTTTTGTTATTAATTTCAACAAAAAAAGTCTAAACCTTTTGAACCTGTTGAGTTTTTGAGTGTTTTGTTTCAACTGAAAATTGTTTTGTAAAAACGTCAACGTTTGAAACAATGAACTAAAAACTGATCATTGTATCTTCAATGATTAACAAGCTTGTCAAATTATCCAGTTATAACTGTTGACCGCAAGATGACAAATTGTCAGCCAATTATCATTATTTATGGTTACAATTTCAATGTTTTCATTGTTGTCTTCATCCTTTTCAATTTACTTGCATCTCAGGTTGCTGTGTTAATTAAAGCTTACATTTCTTGAACCCAATGTTTACCAGTTTTTCAAAAACCCATTTTGAGTTTACTTTCTGGTCTCAAGAAGACTTGTTTATCATGATTATTGTTGTTTCTGGTTGCAACAATGACAATAACTTGAACAACAATCAACAACAATCATTGGAATAACCTATTGATTGAGATATCAACAAAAATGAATTATCTGTCAAAATTGTTAACCATTAGCAATTCAAATAGTAAACCAATGTTAACCAGAGAGCTTGACTTAACATGAATATTTTTCAGCAAAAGTGAAACTTTCATTTGAATTTACCTCAATTTTCAAGTTAAGGTTGAAGATGGTAAGCGGGTTGAAATGTTGCCTAAGTAAACTTTACCATGAAAAGTCCGTCATTTTTGTTTCAGTTTCAATTCTTGAATTTGCATAGCAACCAACTTATGAAACATGATGAAATAGATGATAAAAAAGGTCAAGTCTTTTACCTTGTTTAACCCTTTTCTTTGAACCAATTCATCCTCTTTATCTTCATCATTCTCTCACATTTATCCTCTTTCCATTCAACAGGATTCAATATGCTGGTGACGTAAATTAGATCAACCTGCATGATTATCATGATAACTTGACTAACGTCATTTCACCATTGATACATTTGAATATATTTTCAAGATTGAACAAAAATTTACTCTCTATGCTCTAGTCACGATGAACACTTTGATCATGATGAATCTCCTTCTTTTTCATTTTAATTCAATTTATCGGGCCTTTTTTTTCAGCGTCACTACAATTTTCAATTCACGCATCACATTGAATTTCATTCATTTTCACCCTCCAATTTTGTCTCTTGTTAATCAAAATCATTTATCTCTCATGATGCTTGCATGGTAAGATGAAGATGCCTTGATAGATTCTGATGTTTTCACGATGTACATTGATCAGCAAACTCACTTGAAATGACGTTAAACCCTCTGAAGGATAATGTATCTCACAATCATCAACTTATTGACAAAAGATATTCAGTTTCTTTCATCTTCTTCCTACTCTCTCTCACCCTCTATCTCTATTCATCTTCATGTTATCATTACTATTTTACTGATTCTCTCTCAATCCAAATTATTCAATTTATCACAACCATTTCTTCATTTTTGTTTATCATGAAAATCATCCACTAATCATACTCGTTATTTCACCAAGATACTTACCTATTGGTTTCCTTTCCCACTTTCATTAACATGATATCTTATTGAGATTGGTTAGACATTCATTGAACTAACCTGTGGTGAAAAATTATGTTACAAATTGTTCATTCTTTGTTTATTTAATTAATAATTGATCAATATTTTCAAAGTTGGTCTCTATTGATAGCCAGGGATCAGAGGCTCTTTCTTATGTAAGATAATCCTTTCTAATCCGCCTCGTTCATTTTAAATTTGAGATTAGCCACGAGGCTAACAAAATAGCTAGCATTGAATTTTTTGAGATTATTTTTCATTCTTTTGTTAATTGCTCGGAATTCTGAGTGACAAATCGACCTGAATTAACACAATTATTTAATTGACCCTTAAAGTTTCAATTTGTGTTAATTTTGGAACTTCATGCTTTTAAAACGCCCCGCAGTGTAAGTTTGAAAAATTATTGGAAATTTTTGTTGAATTTTACGAGCATTTTCGAGCATTTCAAAAAATCGTAAATGTTGGATAACTTTTGAACCATAATACGGATCGATCTCAGATTTAAATCCAGTATTGACGCAAATCTGATCCCTATTTCCTGAAAATTTCAGGCTTATAGCTATAAAACTTAATAGAAATTTCAATCAAAATATTTGTAACATAATTTTTCACCACAGGTTAGAAGGATTGATTTGACCTTTAAGTTTACTTCATTATGCTTGGCAACATAATCATCATTCATGTTGAAAAATTTTCACCACTTTTTTGCATTCTATTTGGTCTTAGCTTGAGGAAATTAATGGGAATTGCTTCGATTCCAAGATTGTCCATTAGCCAATTTCATGTTCATCTTTTTTCCATCTTGGTCTCTTCTCGAGCCACGTAAACATGCGTTTTCAGGTTTTCATGATTTGTTTTCACTTTACATCTGATTCTGTGCGCATCTCCGGAATAATTTTTGGGTTACATTCAAGGACTCAGTTATTCAAGAGACAATCAAATTTTAGATGATGATGAAGATGATAAAAATGACAAGTGGAAAGGGACAAGTCGAGCAAATTGTCGAGATAATTTTCTGGTGAAAATGTTTCCATTTTATTTAGATTAATATTCATTCTTATTGCTATTGACACCATTGATAATCTGTTTTTATTGGTAACTTTACAATGAAGATAATCTTCTAATAATTGTATTGATGCCAACTAACATGACGATCAAGATGAAAAATGATGATAATGATGATAAAAGTAAGGAAATGTTGGGTTTAGCAAAAAAAAGTAAACCGCAAAATTCAGGCTCTATTGATTATTTTTTCATGCATCTATCATGTTCAATATCTCAATTGAATTGGATCCAAGATCCAAGATGAAAAGTCCATCTGATTGATGGTTAACTTACTCTCATCATCATCTTCATTTGATCATCTTGATAATGCTCTTAAATCTTATACTTTGTTTACATTTTTATACTCAAATTGATGTGTGAAATGATTAAAGAGGATCATCTTATAAGCTAAACTAGTATTTAAATTTAAACTGTTTACCAAAAATCAAGGTTCGCGGTCCACCTGATTATGAATCACTCATTTGTACTTGAAAATTGTTTTCCAGTATTTTCGCAATTAACTTCAATATTAATCATGCTCATTACAATCTCTTCCCACAAGAGTTTTGTAATTTCATTTCAATTCATTTCACCCTTTTGTCAATTCATTTTACCTGTCGACTATCAACTAATTGACTTACTGAATCAAACAAGTTTAACTTATTGAAGGAGACAGTCCAATATCAAACTATACAAAGCACCATTTATTGTTAGTTTAACACAAAATTGCTTACAATTCAAATAACAAGTACAGCAAACGAAGTACCTAGAACGATAAAAGATATTTGTTATTGAGTGACAAAACGTTGCTTGACCTGAGTTCAATTGTAATGCATTTTTCTTTAGCGATTGACCTTAGTTTTGCAACCTTTAAATAATGATTATTGATGGTTTGTTTATCATTTTGATCGTGTTTACTCTGTTAAACCATGTAAACCATATGAAACAATTTACTTTTGATTCGTTGTTCTCATGCCGGAAAGCATAAACACACAAATTAAACATTGTTTTGTTGCCGGTAACTGTTGAACACAAAACAGTAATTATCTTCGGAAGCGAGTAAACAACGGTTTAAAGCTTGCTGTTAATCAGTATTTAATGTTTTAATCGTTTATTTTTACAACTCAGAACTTACGAGAAAACAAAACCTAATTCATTCATCATAAGTGAAAACCAAAATGAGTAATCAGTAAAATGAATCCTCTTAATGTGTTAATGATTCATGAATCCAATCAAATTTCAAAGTCTACAATAGTAACTACATAAATAAGGTTATGGTTGTTCATCGTTTCTGTCTTGTAGCCATCAAAATGAATTATCGAAGTAACAACTCCAATGAAAAATTCGTTTAACCCTACAAACAATTTAAACATTAGAAAACGAATTGATTATAAATCAGAACTTTCAAATCGTTTTCCCAGCTTCAAAAAAATCGAAAAACTATCAAGCGAAAAATGACAAGCATTTGAAAACTCAATATAAAGATCGTTTTTGGGGCAACCGTATCAGATGTAACGGGTTAACTATCTTCTTTACAAGCAATTATTGACGGCATTTACCTTGCTGAATATGGTTATCATTAGATCCAGATAAAATTGCGAGGTTTGACAGTACTAACCAATCTTGATTAATAACCCAAAAGATGGCAAAAATTTATATTGTTTACAGATATTTAAACGGCAGTAAGAATAGTTACAATGAATACAGAATTTTATTTTTATCCCAAGATTCTATTTTCTCACAATTATCTTTTTCCTTTTTAATTGTTACATAAGTTAAATGATTTTATTCATAGTTAACCATTTCAAAATTGAAAGGCAATGCAATTACTCTAGCCATTCATCCCATGATTAGTTTATTTTTACCCCTTTTTTGTTATTAATTCAGATTTGCTCTCAACCTTGACCAGTATAAATAAGTAAACAACTGAAAGCACCCAGAATCAACCATGAAAATTGCATTTCATAGGCACATTTCAACTTGCATTATCACATTCATTATGATTATTATTATTATAAAGCAATCATGCAACTTTGAAACCCATTTTGGTCCGAATAAGATTTAATGTGTTAACATTCAATTCCAGTGTCAATAACACTTAACATTATTGCTATAATTTTATTACATTTTTCCATGAAAGGAAAACCATGATTAGAGTTGAACTTTTTCATTTCTATTCTGTCCATTTCTCGACTATTTATGAGCACAAATTTGTTATCATTAGACAACTTTAATTGCCGTTTATTGCTATTAACTGACATTTCTAAATCTGATTAATCTTTGTTATTAATGTAAATCTCCTTAATCTCTTCACGTGAATTTGACGTTCAATTGATTTCACTCTTAATTGCATTATTTCAATCAATTTGCATCTCAATTTGCTCCGATTTATTAAATTGTTGATAATGATTGTCTCATTGTTTTCAAGTTCAATTACATTCACATAACAATTGCAACTTAAAAATCCTTTAATTGTTTCTTCACAAAAAAAGGTAAATTATAAAGTCTCACTTAACAGTTAATTGTCGATAATGATAATTACAAGCTTATTGATTCCAAATCGTTACCTTTCAGTTTCATTATTTAAACCCATTATTATGATTATCAGTTGATTGAAAATTTGTATTCAACTCTCACAGTTTAACAGCTATCGCATTCATTTATTAATGATGTTCTGAGGTTTAATTGTCTTTAATGATTAGTCGATTGAAAACAAAAGTTGTTTAAAATTCAAGGCTTTTTCAGATGAAAGCAATCTGTTGATTCAATAATTGGTGAAAAACAGTTTGAAAAGCTGTTTAATGATACAACACTTTTCATTATTGTTGCAACTAATTTTGACCAAAAAAATCAATAATTAACAATTTAAATGTCTTACAAGTCTGAACTTAATCAACTGATGAAAGTCAATGTTGACCTTGCCTTTTATTGTAAATGTTTATTTGTTTTTATTGTTTCTCACGTCAAATTGATTAATTGATTAACTGATTGATTTTTTCATTTCATCAATCAATCAATCAACCAGATTAACTTGAATAAATTGTTGGTCTTGTAATTCAATATTTGAAAAAGAGTTAAAAAGGATTGGTAAAAGAGTGCAAAAATTGTGTAAATAAACAGTTTTACAATTAAACTAAACTGTTAACATTTTCACCTTGACTTTTTAATTACTGATTATGAGATGATTACTGAATGGTTACATGGTTGGTTCATCATTATTCATGATTTTCAGTGAAAAAAGAGTAACTAGAAAGGTTTGATTCTTAATCAATGATTGGGATTCAATTGACAATTTTTTCCCACTAAACATTGGCAATAAGGAAAAGACAATTTTTATTGATATTACCAAAGACTATTAAATGATTATAACTGGGAAAGTAAATTTTAAAGTTGATCATTTTTATGATGATGATGATTGCAGGGTGACATTTGACATTTAAGGAATCGCTCGATTGTTAAGATATATTTATTGATCAGGTGTGTGTTGACCTTTTCATGTAATATTGAAAGTAAATCAGAGAGAAAAAAGTTGAACAAAGTTCTGGTTTTCCCTTTTCCTTCAATCAATATTTTATCGGTAATCATTTGGGTTGATAAGTTGAACACCTTAACATTGATCTGTAACTAAATGGTGACACATTTTGATTCATGTAAAAATGATGAAATTTACAATTGAAAGATATTCTTTCACATTTAACGAAAATTATTCTATCGATTATATTTCTGTTTGAATGACGATTTATTCAGGGTTCAGTCAAGGATTTAGTCATCTTTTTCTCACAGTGTTTACTGTTTCTGAATTTCATCAATCTGCAGTAAATGTGATTCATTGGAAAATGTGAACAAGAAAAAAAGCAGATTTCCGTTCAGGAAATAAACACTGCACTTTGTTTAAAAATTGATTCAATTCTGACGTTGATGGTTAACGTTGAAGCTTCATGATTGCTGGGAAGAAATGGCAATAAATAATAATGAAAATTATCCAATAAATTTTTAAATGAATTGCTTCAACATTTTGCTCAATGAACAATATCAACTGAAAAGACCTTTGATTTTGCCTTTAATCTTCAAGATGTACAGTTGAGCCTCTTAATTTTACTCCATATTTTGGGTTAATGCTAATAATTTTTCTTCTCATTATTCTCAGGTCGTTTTTATAATGGTCCTAAAGCCGATATCTGGTCACTTGGTGTAGTCCTTTATGTTCTAGTCTGTGGTGCACTTCCCTTTGATGGACATACCTTACAAAGCTTAAGGTATTACTTTGAAAATTGAGGTTTCTTTTTCAATTGGCTGTAAATTTGTTTCATTTGGTAACGATTTGATTGACCAAAAAGAGTCAATTGTTACAATTAACTTTTGATCTTTTTAATGTTTGTATTGACATTTCAAAGACAACTTGTAGTGATTTACCTTGCATTAATTTCCATTATCAACATAATATTTGAAAGCCTACAAGAGTATCAATAGTGTTGAAGGTAAAACAATTGTACAATTGAATCAGTAAATTATCCAAATGAAGTAAATTGTATCCATTATGATGATAAGGTTGAATGATGTGATCCATGTTTCATTAATAATCAACATTTTGTTGTAATCTTTTCTTGCTCTTGTTTTGAAAAATACTTATCTTATTAAGCTAATTAGTCATTTTGTTTTCTGTATTATCCTTTCAGGTCTCGAGTTTTAGTGGGTAAATTTCGCATACCTTATTTCATGTCCAGAGAATGTGAAAATTTGATTCGTCACATGTTGATAGTTGAACCTGAGAAGCGATATTCAATGCAACAAATTAAAAACCATAAATGGATTAAACCTCATCTGCCACAACCACAACCACAACAACAACTAGCACCGTTTAACCACCGGTTAGATGCAGCAGCCAATTTAGGAGCAACTGATAGGGAAACGGTTCCACCAACCGAGTCAAATAGTCGTTCAACCAATATGAATAATAGAATGACCAACAGTCAAAGTTCACCCAATATAAGTCAATATGGGTTTTCATCGGGAGGTGCAAGCATATCTGGCCTTGCTAGTAATGGTTCTGGTGGGGGATCCAGCAGTAGTGGTGGCTTTTTTGGTGATGATGGTGATAATAGTCCAGATGATCTTGATTACAAAGTCGTTGAATGGATTGCCAATGAGTTGGGAATTGATAATCAAGAAATCATTAATTCTGTGCGTAATTGTACGTATGACAATTATTATGCCATGTATCACATTTTAAGGGATCATTATGTTATGCATGGTTACACTTCACCATGCACTAGTGCACCACCGTCACCACCTTTACTTCCCATTGTGGCTGCTGGTCAACAAAGAAAATCATCAATCACTACTGGAATTGTTGAAAGGGATTCAACGCCAACCTCAACTCCTGTAACATCACCTAAAAACACTTATTTATCTGCCAATACCAATTCAGCTGCGAATACTCAACGACGACACACTTTTGGGCCTGATGGAACAGCTTCCTCAAGCAATACTTCACAAACCATGTTGACCCCTCCGTTACTCTTTTTAACACCACCAACAACCAACACTGGAACCGGTGCTTTCCCAACACACAATTTAACCATGGCACCTCCAAATTATCCTCTCAACAATATGGACCTACTTAAACCACCTCCAGTCCTATTGATGGTATCAAATAATATGGGTCGACGAGCCTCAGATGGTCAAGCTAATTACTCCAATATCAGTAATCAGCCTGGAAGCCTGCCACCTCCATCTGATAGTCCAGTTGATACAAATCAACAGCCAACTTCATGTGCCTCTACTAACAGGATAAGCCTGCAACAACACCAACAAGCAACAACCTTTTTCCCACCGAGTATGATATTTACCTCTCCAATGCAACTACAACCACAACAGCAGCAGCAACAACAACAACAATATTTATCAGGAGATCAAGGAGTTTGCAGTGCAAACTCAACTCCAAGCCCACCAACAGGATTTGGTAATACACCGCCGCTCATTTATGGCGATGCTCCAGCTTCCATTTCACCACCTTATTCGTTTTCACCCTCTCCGGTTCCTATGAATACTGGAGGCTATTCAGGTGGATTCATGTCTCCATCATCCAACTGTGAAACTCGTAATGATAAAAATCGCTCTTACCCTTTCTCAAGGCGTAAACGTCATTCCTTAACCGATAATCTTGACCTGGTTGTGCGCCAAAGACGATCCGGCATCTTAGCCATATCTATATCGACCTCTGAAAGGTGATTTTCTTGTTATCAACGCAATTGCTCATCTTATTTTTATTTCAATTCTTGCTGCTGTTAATTTTTATTTCAATTGTTTAATTTTTATCATCCCTATGATTATCATTTCATCCTTAATTATTATTATTGTTATTACCTGTTTTTTTTCTTGTTACAATTTATCAATAGCTGGTCATTACTTTTTTAATTTTAATCACCTATTTTGTTAATTTTACCCACTCTTATTAACCATTCTGTTTAACTTTTATTTTAATTTGAAATGATTTCATTTATTGACAATTGTTTTCTTTCTCATTTGGTTAACAATTTTTTCTTCTTGTGTGAATCACACATCAATATTAGCGATTAACAACTAATTTACTAAATTAACATACAATAATGCAACTAATTATTTTATATCAATTAATTGTCAGCTGTATCGATAAATTAAACTGAAGGTTTAATATCGATATTTATGTTTGGTCATACAATTGTTTTAACTAACCAATATCAGCAATGATTAATTTTGATTCAAACTCAGACCATGACCATGAATACACAGTATTTTACCCTTAAATATTCATTCAACCATTTTCATGTTGTTATTGAAACAATGAGTGGGAAACCCTTTTATATGTTAACAATTATTGAATCGATTGCTATTCATGATTGGGTAAAATCATGTAAATTAACCATTGTCTAACCAAACATAAAACCAGTTTTGTAATTATGAACAATCAGAGCTGTTAAAAGATTTGACCACATTCGTCTAAAATAACATTCATATAAACTATCAGTCCTTTTAGATTTAATTTTACATTAATGATTGAAACAATCTTTGAGAAAAAATTCAGAGTAAATTGAATATTCCAATACAATGCAAATCACCAGGAAACATTTCCTGGGAAAATTGAATAAGACTTTCCATACTCAATCTTAATTTTCAACTGTCATGTCAAATAGCCAAAGATTTGAATGTAAGTTAATCTTAAATCTTGAATCTAAATGGATTGTTGAATAAGGTAAATTAAAGGATTGGTTTCAGTCTTGTAAGTTGCACATTATTAATTGATACAAAGATTATACAGTTTTAGGTTTAAGTAATCAAATTATTGTGTTTTATTGAGTCTTGATTTCACATGATTAATTGATTCTTTTTTTATTTCAGATCTGGTCGACGTCGAGCCTCAGATGGAAGTGGGATTTCAAATCAACCCTCATCTTCACCACCATTAATTAGTAGCTCGTCAAACAACGGATCAACTTCATCTCACCCAATATCAATCCAATGCCTACAATCCGAGTTACGATCTTTATGCGTTTCATCACCACCTTCCCTGCAAACCTCACCAATCCACCAACCAAGCACATCACCGTCACCCAGTTTAACCGCTTCACCACCACCAATTGGTTTACAACAAAACATGTTGCACATGATTAGCGAGGAAAACATTAATTGTAGCTCTGGACAATTGAGAAACAACAATATCAATCTGAATATGGTTAACAACAGCAATTATAACTGCACCACCACCAACAATAATAATAACATGAATAACAATAATAACCTGATCAATACTAGCTATGGTAACAATAACAATTTCAATAATAACAACATTGATTACAATAGTGAAATCAGCAATAACAACAACAATAATGTTAATAACTCTGTTTGTAATAGCAATGTCAGTTCAACTGGTTATAGTTCATTTATAAATGATCATTCAGATTATCCGACTTCTTTGCCCGCTTCACCTTTACCTTTTCTTGGTTTAACCTTTACACCACCCCAGTCATTCCGTTGTTCACCGGTTAGCTCAGACAAGGAGCCCAATTCAGCGGCAAGCGTTGCTGCCGCGGCCGCTGCTGCTGCAGCTGCAGCTCTTAAATTTAATTTAAACAATATTAATGCGCCCAGTATCTCGGTTACCGATGAACTTGGCTTTTCTGCTCATTTTCCCATCATTCCACCTCCACAAGGATTTGCTCATCCAGGATCTTGTCCAATGGAACCCGAGATATGCCATTTATCACAGCCCAATCTTGACCAATCGCCTGATGATCCGGACTCTCATCATCATCCTCATCATCATCATTCCTCATCTGGATCAGCTTTCAATACAAAGATACAATCAACTCTTCCCAAGCTTCACAGATGGAAAGAGGGTAATTCAAGGCAGTCTTCATCTTTAGTCATCTAAACTCATCGCCATCAACACCATTATTTTCATCTACAAAGTTCATAATTTCCTTCTTTTCTACATTTTGTACTTTTCTTTCTCATTTCCCATCTTTATCTCGTTATGATACCTTCACTACCTTTTGCAATTTATAATTTTAAAACTTTTGTTCAATTATTTATCTTTATTGCCTGACCTTTTTTGTTTTGTTTTTGACTGATGATGTTTTTTTCAAATCATTTATCGACAGTTAATTATGTATTATCTTGTCGCCAATTTGTTTTCCTTTACAATTGTTTCTCATTTTGGTTTTTGTCAAAGATATTTCAAATATTGTTTCGTTCAATTTTGCCTAGCATCGCTTTGTTTCTATTTTGACATTTGTTTTGTTTCATTTTTCTCAATTTCATTTGTTGTAAAATGATTATTAATATTATTACCAAATTTATTGCTTTATTTTGTTTATCATTTCATTTTTTTTAACTTTTACGTCCATATGAATGCTATGGATACATTTGATCCTACTAATAATCTGATGATGGCAAGATTCTGGATGATTTTTTTCTGTAATTTCCATTCCGTTTTCTAATTGATGTCTATTTCAATTTTAGATCCAGATAAACACTCAAAACACTGTTCATATGTTCAATCGTCCCTCCTAAGGCAAACATATCCACCAACAATAATCCCATCTCCAACATATTTTACACAAAACCAGCAATACACTTCTTTACAAAATTTTAACCTCCAACAAGCCCAAGATGTTGATCAAGATATTTCAATTGACGATTTATTTGTAAACGTTTTTCATACCAAAGGGACAGAAGGGCTTCAAGCTTCAGAAAATAGTTAAAATTTTCATTAATCACTGTACAAAAGGTTGGTTAACCAATTTAACATTAATACAGAATCTAGAAAAAACAAGAAAAAAACAAAGACTAACCGTTAGTATCAAGATTTGGATCCATTGATTGGATCTTAATCATTATCAAGATGCCTTGTTTGAAATCAGCTGATTCAATCATAATTCAATTTTTAATTTACATTTATTGATTTGTGAATCTTTTACTAATAACTTTGTTAATCTTTCTAGTTTAACTGTTTAATATTCATATTCCGTATTGCTAAAAATGATGTTTCTTACCTTTTCCATAGTTCCGTTTTACAATTTGGTGATACTTTAAATATGTTTTTGGATTTTTTAAACTCGCTGTTATTTCATCAACAAACCATCTCCATTACAGAGCATCAATTAAACAATCAACAAGCTACAATAAGGATAAATACTAGATTAAAGACTGGCTTCACCGTTAAATGTTTAAATTCAATTTAAGGAATCGTTAAATATCAGCTTCAACATACTCACCTAAACTTTTCTATTGCAATGTAATGAACCTGACAATATTAGACATTAGTTGATTGGAAACTTGGAAACAATTAAAGCAAATAATCAACCAGCTAAAGAAAGGAAAATTACAGAAGACAAAACCATTTAAAACTTGAAACTTGCTGTCATCAAGAAATTTTTATCACAATTGAATTGAGAAACAAAAAGAGACACAATCATCAGCATTACATTATTCATCTTGGATTTTCAATTATTAGTTTTTAATGTAAACACAGCCGCAATTAAACCAAAAAAATCAACTCAATTTTGTGTATCATTTACATTATCAAGTTTTTTGTTTTACTATTTCAACAATGAATAACAATAAAACAGAAGTTTTCTCACAATTGAATTAATCGGCTGAACCTTTGACTCGTGTTGGATAAAACCAGAGATAAATCAACCAAATGTCATCGATAAATATAAACACTTGATTGAATTTCACAAGAAATTTTTCCACACTCAAAATTACCCACAGCATTTGGCGGATAACATGTAGACGGAGAGTGAAAAAACTGTCTCTATCGTGATTCAGAGTTGAATATCTCCTGATGTGCTCTGAATATTACCGTGATTTTACTTCAAACATTTTTTGACAGGTTTTATATGTTATTTGAATTTAAGATTGATTATGCATATTTAGCAAATTAAGGCCAATTTATTCATATTATTTAAAATTTACCTTACTGGAGTGGGCAGAGAATGGTTTCAAGTTTGTTTCAGATTGATAGTTCAAAATTCCAGATTCAATTTGAATCGCTAAATCGTGCTTGAACTGTAATCGCTAAATTGTCAATAGCCTTAGACATTAGAAAGTCACAAATTTTAGTGGCACAATAGATGGCGCATTAAGCAAATCGGCAAATCTGGCCTGATCTTGACGCTTTAAGCATTTTTTAATGTCTTTTTGTGAATAATCACATTTCTCAAAAATGCGAAAAAATTATCCTCAATATGCATGATTTTCACGCCAAAATGCGTCAATATCAACTTGTTTTTCTCGGAGAACGATATTTGATCTTGAATGACCAATAAACGCAAAAAAACAGAATCTAATATTTCAATTACATCATTCAAGAGGTGGATCAACGATTCATTGTTTTGTGAAATATCAAAATTGGATACTTTAAAATTAATGCATAGTATCGGAACTTAAGTGACAGTTTCTCTGGACTTTTGTGTACATTTCAAATAGTTAACATTTAGATGGAATTTCGTTTTTGTTTGCTCAAATTTCACTACTAGATTGCAATGTCTTTATACAATTCAAATGAGTCAATTTTGTGATTATTGTAATAATTGTATTCAAGTCACTTAACAATTACATAATTATAAGCACACAATCAAAGATTTATCCAACCAAACCCTTAAATAATCAATCAAAGTGTGAACAAGTCTTGTAATTACAAATAGTAGTCAATATTTTATTGAATAAATAAGATTTTAAGTAATGCTTGGCAAACATCTCAACATGAGATTCAACAATGATTATATCAAATATAATACTGTTAGACCATAAGACGACCAATACTCTTACAATTATGGTAGTTATGATCAGTTAAATATGTAAAAATTTTAGGCAATTTGATTGAACATGATGAAAATAATAGGATAAATAAAAATGAAGCTTTTTTCTTTCCCATGAAAGTACAGTTGAATAAGTTAGTTGAGTGAATAAAATTATTGATATAATGCTTGGCTTTGTCATTGTCTTTTGGTGAAAATGAAATTGTCCTGAAATCCAAATGAGATCGTCATTTATATTATGTTCAAGTTTAATTTCCACTGGAATCAAGTTCATGCTTTCAAATGGTTCATCGTTGAAGTATTGATTCCCTTGCACTTATACAGCCTTTGAATCTTGTTGATATCTTCAGGTGACAATGATTTATTTTCAAGATGATAACCAAGGTCTTCGATGGAAATTGAAGGATCTTTTGGTGTAATTGTAGGCACTTTTTTATCAATTGACCACATCGAACTTGAATAATGCATAATTGATTTGTAATCGTAAGGTTCATTGATATAGAAATCTTCTAGAAAATTTGGTATTAACTTGAAGTTACGACGATGTTTCTCATCAATGTTGGGCCAGTTAATGTTGATATAATTATCTCGATCAGGTCGAGCATGTTCATGCATTAATCCAAGTGTATGAAGTAACTCGTGGAGAACAGTTCCTATTGATTAAAAAGGTAGAAAAAAGGTTACAATTAGTTGAGATACAATTGAAATTAAGTCATCATAGCTATTCATATTCCGTTCTTAAATCACTTGAAATCTTCAACATTGAACACTATCAAACTATTTATCAACAGAAACAAGTGTGAATCCTAATCAATAACTACCATTAATGCTGTTAATCACTTGAAAAGAGTTATCCCATAAGATGTGAATATTCAAATGTCCTCAACACTTGTATACTTGCAGTTACAAAGTTCAATCCAAGTACAAATCTCAACAATGCAGAAGATTACATTTGAAATTCAATTAATATTGTAATAAGAGTGAAATACATTAAATCCTATCTGATAATTGTTAAATTTTAAATAAAATAATTTCCAAATTACCTCTATCAACACAGTAAGGAGTATCCAAATAGAGATCCTGTTTACCACCAACTTTACCCATCTCAGAGGAGCAACCGCGTTCGGGTGAAATCAAAACATAATCTTTAATCGACGAGTCAGCAGCAATAAATTTAACACAAGAGACACTCTCAATTAAATCCATGGCCGATCTAACCTCAGATTGGCTCCAATCGTCAAATTTAGGATTAAACCGATAATAAACAAGTCCATTATCCCACAAGTTAATCAGATTTGGTGTTAATAATCCAGATGGAGCGACTCGTTGCGGATGAATATCATAATTGGCTATTAGTTTGTAACAAGAGGTTAATTTAAATCCAAGAATGAATACAAACAATATGAACAGTTCAAAAATTAAGTTGGGTTGATCAGTTGGCATAATAATCAAATTTAAATATAAGTTAATAAGAAAGAAACAAAACAAGCAAAAAAATGGTAAATAAACTGATGAAATGTAAAAGCAAAATCTAAATTGATAGGAATCCAGAAAAGCAGTTACTTTTTCGTCGGCGTTGAATGTTGGGCTGAAATTAAGCGAATAGAGTTGACGGCAATTCTTGAATATGATTTCATTTATTGATTGGCTGTATTTATAAAGGATTTGCTATAGACAGTGAGAAGACAAGGAGCAATTGAAGATAACAATTATGATGATGAGGAGTTTGAAGTTTATGGTGGATTGCACTCAGGATGGTTAAATACCGAGAATAAGATGTTAAGGTTATGTTAACCGAATTTATTAATCATTAAACGGTTAAACTGGTTAGGTGAATGATTAATTTTATCAAGAAAATCCATGTTAAATGACCCAATTGCCTGTGAAAATAAGGCCAGACGGTGCATATGCTCAGCAACAATCTATCTGGTTCGTTTGTAACTTTTGTTTTTCAGCAATCAAGGATTGAACTATCTACCAAACCAGATATTTACACTGGCTTAACATAATTAGATTAAATAAAGATCTAACCCCAAAATTAACCCATTTTTGATTCTCAATTTGCCTGTTAAATTTCATCATTTTAAACTAAATCTTTTCCTTGCATAAGGTTCAACCAGAGCATCAGCTCTTGACTGATTCCTTGGGTTGATTAAAATTATTGTCATTCTCATGTTTTAACCCTAATGAAAGTAAATTATCAAATTGACAATCTATTCCGATAATCACTCTTAGTGGGGAATCAATTTGATCAATTGTATTTTTTTCAATGGATACTTCAACTTTAACTCCATCAATAGCACAGTTAATACACCAGCTAATTTAACTGGAGTCATGAAAACAATGATAGCAAATCTGGTTGACATTTAGCAAGCATGGAATTGGCAAAAAGACCAGATTTAACCCAAAATACCAAACAAAACCTCAGCAACTTGAGGACATTTCACTCGGTATGACCAAATCTTTCCCAAAATTAACATTGAAAAATGAAACAATCAATAAACTGTTAAATTGCCACAATAAAATAAACATACAACAGGCAATGTATGCTTGAGTAGCTTGTTGAGTTGGTTTTTTATGTAACCAAAGTCGTGAATTGACCTTATGCATTACAATCACATTGAAGACGTTCAATTGTAAACATTACTTTATATCAAAGCAACTCTGAAGGTGTGCCACTCATCGTTATATAACTGCTATTACTAATTGTTAATTGTAAACAGCTTCAGACTAATGTCTACTTGCCATTACAAATACATCATGTATTCATCCTTATAAACTCAATGTTTTCATACTTAAATTAATGTTCTTGAAGGATTCAAATTATAGATAAAATGTTACTTTATGCTCGATTTTATCAATTAGCTAAATTTAGTTGATTATAAGCATTTATTGACTAAATTGTCATAATTGAACTGATCAAGTGTCTGGCATGTTTTCATGGTTTGTTATTAATTTTGTTTTCATTGAAATTTAAACATCACTCGTGACTGTGTTCATCAGATTTATTTCATCAGATTCCGTTGTTAGAAGTGTTAATTTGGGAATTTATTAAATTGTTTAATAAGAGGTTGTACTTGAATGTATCCTCAATGTGATCTGTTTGATAAGGTTGAAGAACTCAAAATCATCGGCTTTTCCATTGATTACCTCCTGCAATAGTCAAGACACATTTGACAATTGATAAAATAGCTGAATTGTCATTCAATCTGATACCAGATTTAGGCCCAAATTTTGGGCAATAATGTTTTAATTTGAGGCTTTCATTGAAAATTTTTGTCACCAATTTTCAACATTTGATTGTGACGAGTGAGTTGAAAGTGTTGATCATTTTATCCAATTTGTATCAACTTAACAAGGAATCAAAGGATTGAAATGACAAAATGAAGATGAGCATTGTAATTATATAATTGTATGTAATATAAATAACTATGCTGATCACTTGAAAGTTAACATTGATTATTACAGTTCCAAATAGGATATGATTTATCTTAATTCTCGTGATTTTGTTTGATTTTGATCAAATTTTTGCCCAAATCAAGGTATTTCTTAGGGACAAACTATGCCTTTGATAAGATGGAAAGCTAGATTGGCCAGAAAAGGACATTAAATTACAACAATTAGCAGAAATGTATTCTAATGGTTCTATCAAGTATCTTGTCAATTAATGAATCACAGTAAACGGTTGTTGAGATTGTCAATCAATTATAAATATTTCTCTGTTTAACAACAATTTATTCAAACAAAGGTTAACCAATTTATAAATTAGCAATAATCATACAAAAAGGTTGTAAATTGTATGAAAAGAAGAATCAAAATTAAATTTATAAATCATTGAAAAATTAAATTGTTGGTAAGGTTTGGTGTTTTGTACAAAGTGTTGAGGGAAACAAAAGTGTTGATCAAGTTGAATAACAGGAAACACAGTAAACGGTTACAAAAGGTGGGTTCATTTTGATTTAACTTAATTACTCTTGATACTGATTTGAGAAGGTAATCGGCATTGAATAATTAGGTTGGTAAACAATTTAGTCAATTGTCGTATTTAATAAATTAAAGGTGAGAGTAGAGGAAAGGGTAAAACCGGTAAACGTTTGTTACTTTCCAATGAACAGTTTTTTAAGAGTATCCAAGCTGCTTCCTTGGGAAGCCGTTTTCTTCCAACATTTACATGAACCAGGAATTAGGAACCAATCATAATAGACTCTCATCTGGTAACAACCGACAGCATCATGGCCATCACACTCTTCATCTTTAACTGTCTCCGTTTTACGATTAGATGAGGTTGTTGAGGTTGACGAGGATGAACTTGGTGGTGATGGTGGTGAAGCTGCTGGAGCAGAAGCCGAGTGACTTGATGAAACAATTTGAGCCTTTTCTTCATCATTGTACATCCTCATCATTCTAGGTTTAGCCAGTCTTCCGTGTTCATCAGTAACAAAAGGCTCCTCTCGATAACCAATTTTACGGTTCAGGTATTGATCAATCTCCGGATAGCTCATTGGTTGTCCATTGCCGGTTAAATGGTGGCTCATTGGATTCATTGTGTAACCATGAAGGGAATGTTTCATCTGGTTGAGATGAGCCATGTTTACATGATGATTTGCCGTTTTCTGGTGTTTAGGTTTATTCATTACTTGCATGTTTGGGTTGACCGTGTAGCTTTTAACCTCACTTGGCGAGGCAATTAGATTGTTAAACTTTGGCTGTGGATAAAATATTTCAGCCACCAACAGGCTGACCCAGCGAGGAGATTCATGACATACACCTTCCATGAAGTCACAGCGACCCTTACTGTATAAAACAATGGAAATGAGGAGAAAATTAGTAAAATTGAAATTTAGTAATCGTTGAGTTTGACTTTTAAATGTAAAAATTGTAGGTTGAGTTTTGTTTCCTTGCTTCATGACCAACACGATGTTTTAGGTTAGATTAGCATGTTTAGTTAATCACAAAGAAGACCTTTTTTATTGCCGTGTTAATTGCTCTGCCTTTTAATTGACTAAACTAGATTAATTGGGGGCACTAAAGCATCTCAATTAAACATCTATTGTTAACATCGTGACTTGGGACAAGTTTAAACAGTTAGATGAATTGTAAGTTGTACTTGGTACTGGTTCATTGTAATGAGGTGAACAATTTGAATTGAAAATTACGAGGTTCAAGAGTGTATAATTTCAATTCAAACTTGTAAATAGCTCACCTACAATTTAAGTAAATTGTTAATGTTGAAGAGTTAAATAATGTTGAGATAATCGTTATGTTAATTTATACTTCAGGTTGGCTCATTATAAAGACAGACGATGGGCAAAATGAATCAATTTCAAGGTGGACTCTTCTTTGTACAAGAAAAGGTTGCTTCTAGACTTGGATGGGTAGAGATTGAATTTTGAAATGAAACATTTTTGGGTTTTTTCATCTCTTTTAGATTTGCTTTCAAGCAACAATTGATTCTGAATAAATACTTACACACAAGATGTTTTTTGGACAGTTTGGGTGAAGTAACCTTCATGCGGTATTTGAACAACATATTTCCAGACTCCTTGGTAGTTGCGAGCATAAACGGGTGCAACATACTCTTCAATGGAGGGACATGGAGTCGGTGGTACTTGTGATACTGTCATGGCTTCAGCGGCGATATCTTCAAAATCAAGAGGTTTCTTCCGTCTGGCTGGAAGTAAACTTGAGATTGCGGTTGGATTAACATTCATCAGATAGTCAACTATTGCTGAAAGGGGTGAGAAGTTGTTTGTTGTAGTTGACAGAGACGAGGTGGAACCCGAGTTGGCATTAAGTGAGGCTAGAAGGGATAAAACTTGGGTAAACATTGATTTGGATACTTCAGAGGTTCCAGAGGAACCAGATGAACCTGAAGAAGAGGAAGAGGATGAACCAGATGATGAAGAAGAAGATGAACCAGATGAACCAAGAGAGGTTAAACTGGCTGAAGAGGGTGTTGATGATCCACTGGTTGATGATGAACTGCCACTGGTGCTTCCTGAACCACTGAATTGTTGAATCAATGAAGCCAATGAGCTTAAACTTTGAGCCGTATTTGCAGCATTAGAGGCAGCCGTCATCACCTGAGCTGCCGAGCTTAACGTGTTTAATAGGCCACTTGATACTTGACTTCCGCCACCCAAAGCTGACATAACTTGGCACAACCTAGAGACAAAAGGATTCAATAAAAAAGAGAAGAAAAAAATAAGAGTTTAAATTTTCATTGCTATTTATGGGGAAAACATTAAATCAATGGATTGTAAAATGTCAATTTATGGCTTGAAACCCGTCAATTACTTTGGATTGATGTTTTTTTCAAAATATTTTCTGGTCAAATGTTATTCAACTTGCAACCTCACACCTCACAACCAGAGTAATTTTAATCAACATTGTTAATGAATATTTAATTGTTACTTACATTCCATCATTTTGTTCACAAACTTTTTGTCTTGCTTCGGTGTAATTGAATCCATGTCCACCTAATTTAGCCTCTCTTAGCAGGTCCCAGCGTAAGTTGGTGAAGTTGGCCAAGGATCGTTTTTTGATTACATGATTTCCAGAGTAATCATAATTTCCATTGTTCATTCCTTTATCAACATTTGAAGGGACAAAATCATTGTTGATTCCCAATTTGGTATCGGTTGGTATTTTAGCCACTTTGGGTATATTGTTAATGTCTTGTTTCAAAAAGGGTAAAGATCGGGCCAAAAAGTGTAACGTTTTATTTTTAATTAACTCACTGTAAAAAGAAATTGAAATAATTAGAAAAAAATGTCCTTTCAATTGATTGAATTGATTCATTTGATTTGAGATGAAAATGCTTTTTGCTTTCACCAAAAAAAACAATTTTCACGCAGATTGTCCCAATTGTTTACAAACATTGATTTAAATGAACTAGAACAGATTGACTAGTTGATTAACTTTCATTTTAATCAGTTGATTGAGTTACACTTGAAAACACTTTACTTTTTTTTAACTGCTAAAGAAAGTCCAGTTTTGGCTTGAAATCTCAAAAATTGGTGATAATGAAAAAAAAAGGAACCCAAAATTGAGTCAATGGTTTTAAATAAGGAAGTAATCTGATTGATTTAAGGTATTTGTGGTTGACTATTTGGGTAACTCAAACAATGGGTCAAACAGTTATTTGGGAATTGGCGTTAATTGTTACCAAATGAACCATAAATTGTAGCAAAGAAAAGGTAGAAACCAGAAAATACTTACAAAGGATAAGGTTGACCAGTAATTGTTTGTAACATTGGATTTAATGGAACATAACCTTTATTTAAATCACCGCAAAGGGTGTCTTTAGGTGATAGTCGATAATCACTTTTAATCGCTCCTGAAAGATGAAAGAAAATTAAGGAAAAACAAATTAAATTGTGAACCGCAAATAAAATCAACGATACAATCAAGGTTTTCATTGGTATCAAAGTTGAACCCAAAAATTGAAGGCACAAAATACACTGAATAATGGTAATAACCCAAATTTATGGATGATTAATGTAACAGCTATCAATTTAACTTCATCTACAACAATCATCTAAATAATAATAAGGAAATTGAGTTGTTTGGTGGTAAAAATATGAATAGGTTGAGACTTCCTTGGGAGATTTAACCTCATCACTGATTCCCATTGCTATTCAATGTTAACTATTGTTCAAATTTTTCAGCCTTTTCTTTCTGATTACGATAGACCAATGATTAAATAGGTCCTACTGTCACCATTGACTGGGTGAAATAACAATTTATTTCAATGAAATTGATGAGAATCATTTTAATAATGATGATTAAATTTGAATGGAACGTTGATTGAATGAAAATTGTTGAAACCTTGCCAGAAGACTGTAAACTTGTGATATCTTTTTTTTTGTTACCTTTTCAATGTCTTACTTTGATTTACCTGTTTCTATCAATTGTTTTGGTTACGGATTGATGACAGTTTTCAATGAATCCTGCTCTTTATCATCATCATCGTTATCATTGATGGTAACATCTTTATGTTTGTTATAATAACATTTCTTAAGAATCAGATTCCTTGTTAATCGCAATAACAATTTGTGCTACTCTTGGAGTAATACAATTATGCGATCAGCTTGACAATTATTTAAGACCACTATCAGGATTCAATGTTGAATAGTTGATTAATTTGATCACTGTAACATTGAACCAGTCAATTGAGATGTTTCATTGTAAACTGTTCAAGTTCAGGTCAATATTATTATTAAACTATTTTTATCCATTAATCCTCATCTTTACAGTTTTTATCATTTTTTCACCATCTTCATCTTCATCAGTTTGTTGTCAAATTTTTCCTATTAACAGGTAATTCAATTGAAACCAGAATCGTCTTTTTTTAAAGCTAATCTTTCAATCTTTAAACCAATAAATCAAAACATGTTTTGAATTTAACTGCAAGTATTTGAAACATCATTAAGCACTAATCAGGACAATCAATTAATTCATGGTAAAAGTAATTTTTATATTTTAAATCTTTGAAAATAAGGTTAGTTTCAACTCAATTGACAATGAATATTGACAATGGCAATTTAATGCTCTATCAGGGTTAATTTTTTGATCTTTTTTTCTGTTCACTCCGGATCACGATAACTCTGAATTGATTGAACAACAAAACACGCCAATTGATTTGTTGGTGGATTTAATTGTTGCTCTTGAAAGGTATCGTGATTAGACCAATTGATTGTAAACTGTTTGGTCAGAAAAAGGTTATTTCAATGGTTACTACCATTAAACAAAACCATGATTGACACGAACCAGAAGTGTTACTTGATCAAGCCTAAAATTATAACTCAACAATTGACCATTTTCAGGGCTTCTTCTTACAAGATTATGATGATCATGAAAATGATGTGATTTCATCTTCAATTGTTGATCCGTGAAGCAACAAAAATTGAATGTAATACGTAATTTTGATGCTACAAATAAGCAAAAAATGTAAAAATTGCTGGTAATAATAATAATCAAAAAATGCTTCTTGCTTTGTTTTGTATGTCACTTGTTACATTACCTTTATATTGTTACCTTGACCTGTTGACTTGAGAAATACCTTTTTTTTGTTATTCTTAATGATGAAGATGATGATTTTAATGAGGATAATTTCATCTAACAAGTTTAAATAGTCATGATAGCGGAAGTTGATTCATTTAAATTATCATTAAACAAGGGAAACATTTACATTTCTAAACAATTATGTTATGCTGAGAGATTCTGAGTAATGCTATCATTTTCAATGGACCCTCTTAGAGTTACTTTTCAGTCTCACTTGCCTTAAGGATATATTTTAACAGTCTGACATGTTAATTAAAATTGATGCGGAAATAAAACAATGAAAAGGGTGAAACAATTAACAAAGATATTTGGTTAAGATTAATAAACGAGTCGCACAAAAAAGGTAAACATTGTTGACGTTGCATTGGATGGACACTGTTTGGCTTTATTTCAACTAGCAAGTCTGCTGGGTTAAACTGTTTGATTTACGGTTCAGTTAAATTGTAAACCTGATTGAGTTGAGAGTTGATTGCTGGTAAAATTGTCAGTAAAAGTTAATTTAATAATTACCCGGACAGGGGACATTGGCTGGAAGGTAGGGTGGCTTGAGTACACGCGGTGGTACTCCATGAGTTCTGGTTGCTTTTTCAAAGGCAAAATATCCTGGTGGTTGTTGTTGATCAGTTGTTGATCCATGGACAATTAAAACAACAGTCAAATTAATAATCACAATTAAAACCTGGAAACAATTAAGATATCAATTAACAATCATTCAATCACAAGAAACCTTTGGTTATTGGGTAAAATTGGTTGTTGGTCGTTGGTTACCTTGTTTACATTCATTTTGTTGGTAATGTTGATGATCGGTGGGATAATTGTGTCATGACTATAAGTAAACAATCAAATATAAATTAACTAAACTTGATAATTTGGTTGACAATCAAGCAACTGTTAATTAACTGGATGAAAACTCATGGTTGACAATGAAAAATAAATAATTGGTAAAGATTAAAGGTGAATGAAAAGCACAAGTTAAAATTGGGTTTGAAAGTGGATCTGGTGAGTGTTTGAAAACGGGTAAAAATGGTTTCAAGAAAATCTTTTTACCTTCAAAGTCAAAGATGAAATCACAAACTAAACAAGCTCAGATGATGATCATCCTTCCAACCTCCCTCTTCATCATCATCATCTTAACGGTGCACTAAACCAGTCCCATCATTTAATCCCAGTTACGGGTCTTTATATAACGGAACCGGAATATTTTGCTTCTCCTTTTCTTTCTTTTTACCTTTTATCTTCTTCTTCTTCGCCATCTTTCTTCTTGATTTCAGGAAGAAGATGAAAATGATGATGATCACCGAGAAACTGATGCAGTGTTTGATGTTTCAAGAGCAACCTTTAAAACAGCTTAATAGGGCTGGTTCAATGTCACTGACCCGGGTTAACCTAAGAAAGTTATTGATTTAGATTATTAATTTTCCAATATTTAGTTAATTACAGAGAAAATTTTCACAATCTTTTTCCTTTCTACTTCTACATTCATCTGAAATCATCATTAACATCATAATCACCGTTCTAGTCATCTTAATCAATGTCTGGTGAAACATTTGATCTTCCTTAAAAAGGCCAACATTCACTTAAACCAGTTTCGGACAAACCTGAATATCACTGTTTCAACTTTTATTTTCATCATTTAATCACAAATTTATAATCAATCTTTCACTCTCATTCAAATTAAACAGATTAAAGTCTCATCTAATATTTCATTACCTGTGATTATCTTGATTCTTAACTTGGTGCTTCAATACTTTCTCTTTCAGCTTTGCTATTCATTTCATGAAAGATCATTTCAATGAAAGTAACTCATCATTTTATCATTTGAATTTTCATTTTTAACTCTTTTTTTTTCATAATAAAATGTTGCTTTCATTTAGGTTAATCACAAAAATAGTTCACTATAATATGTCAATTGTTATCGTTAAATGTAAATTTGCTTATTCTCGCCCAAGCATAAAGGTAAAAGCTTATTAACAACTTCAACTGATTACTATTACAACTAAAATGACTCCTTTTTTTACGCATAATTTGTGAAAGTTGAGTAAAATTTTCAGGTTTTTTCTTTCGATGTTTCTCTGATCATGTTTATCAGCAACAATTTGTTGATTATCATTTGCATTTTCAGTTTTTGCTAAATTTACTTTTAAAACCAGGTTTCGCTTTGAAAGTGAACTTGATCAACAGCTATTTACAGTAAAACCGCAAATAACTTGAGTTTTGAACAATTTTTTTCATTTAGACTTTAATTTTAACATCAAATTGTTGATCTCTTTTCTAATTTATGACCTGCTTCAACTATTGGATATTTTTGAATTTGCTATCCAATAAATCAAACATTCAAATCTATTTTATTTCTGAATAATTGAAAAGTTGATCAAGCTTAATCAGTTGAATATTCATCAATTCGTCTGTCAGTTTGTAATATCAATTTACAAATGAATAATCACTTCTATTTTGAAACAAAAATCTTGATAAATCAGCAGACAGTCTGATTTATTTTTGATTTGCAATTATTATGTTAACATTTGAAAAACGCGCTTTAAAAACATATGCAATTTCTGTCTTCACCAGTCTTGAATAACAAGATGTAAACAATGTGCGCTTAGTATTTTATTCAATTTTTGTTATTTATTTAGTTAATCTTTAAATCCGGTGACATTAGTTATATAATATAGATTGTTAAAATGAATGTGCTTAAAATAGGTGCTTCTAGTCGAAACTTCAAGGGTATTTTAAATTCCAGTCTGCTTAACCTTAACCGGAATCCACCTGAACATCGTCTTGCGAGAAATTTTTGGACCTATTGGTTAAATCTTATTTCTAACAGGTATTTATTTCTCTATTTACTGCGACTCTGATTGTTTTGACGTTTATTATAGATTAATATTAATTTTGATTGTTTATTTCATTCCTTATCAGGGTTTATCAAGAACGTATTGATGATGTTGGGCCAGAGCAAGCTTGTGCTGAATGGTTGATTAGAAATGGCTGTGAGATCAAATGGAGTACTAGCGAAAAGTTACAAGTTCATTACGAGGACATGCCCGATATCAATGAATCTACTTGGATCCAAGGGATCAAAGGAGATAATTCTTCGTTAATGAGCGTCGGGTTTGATCATTTCAGTAAGAATCTGCATTATTTTACTCTGAGATACTTGAAAAAATCTAACCTTGAATGGTTCAGACTAATTCAATTACATTTAGTGACATTTTTGTGACACTATTCTATTATTGATAAATATGTCTGGGTTGTCACAACAGTTGAAAAATAAGAATTTATTTCCACTTTTATTTTGATTTAAGTCTTGCTCTGTGAAGATATATTTAGCGGTGTTAATCGCTTAATCGTAACCACTATTGTTTCGCTCTGTTGATCTATATGAATCTTTCTTCTTCATATTTTATTAACAATTTTTTCTTCTTATTGCAGAATCTATTAAAGGCCCTGAAAAAATCTTGTTTCGTAGATGCCATTATTTAACAGACGATGCTTTGGAAAAATTAACATTCATTGGACATTCTCTTCGTCATTTACAATTAATTTCTTGTCATAGTATTACTGATGAAGGAGTTTGCTCTTTAACTCGTCTTAGGTTAGTCTATTTTGCTATATTTAATTTAACCACATTCTTATAATCATTCTTTATCATTTTGTTTACAGAAAATTAGCATTCATTAAACTGTTCGATCTTTCTTCTGTTAAAGATATTGAAGGCTGTCGTCAACATTTACAAGAAGGTTTGCCGGAATGTGTTGTTGATTGGGCCAAAATATGAATTGTGCACGCTGAGATTCCCAAGCTTTTCGAAATCTTTGGCCCTTCTCCACGATCACAAGGATAATGTTGATATGGAAATGCAACAAATTTACATTACTTTCAAGGCTTGCTGTTAACCTGCGTGTAAAGATTTAATCATCTAATCTTTTGATGATTAATTCCACATTATTGCCATAATTATGGTTTTAGTCTTGATTCAGCTGCAAGCGTAGCAGGAAGCTTTTTTCATTTCTCTTTGAATAGCTTCAATTTGAATTAAACATAAACTTGACATGGATATTTGTTTTAATTTAACAACTCAAAGAACAAGTGACTATAATTACTTTACCCGCAACTAAAGTAAATATTTTTGCAAATAAACAAAATCTGAATGATTACGTTCTTAACAACGAATCGGATATGTTCATGAAATATTGATGTTTTGCTGTATTTTAATCGTTCGATTATGCTACAAACAAAATACAACATTAAGATTGATAAAGTTTAATGTTGATTAGTAGTTTTTACGTCTAATTAAAATAATGTGACTTTGAATATAATTAATTGTTTTTTCATTTCATTGAAAATTGATTTCATTTTCACATTCCCAATATGATTGACTATTATCATTCAAAAGTTTCATTGGAAATGAAATAACATATTTAATTTTTTACATATTAATTAGATATGTTTTAAAGTATTGAAATGGTGTTAAAAATCAAAGATTAAAAATAAAAAAGACTGGCATTATTTGTAACAAATTAGATTTTATGAGCTACTCGATTCAAAAAAGTCGCGCCTCGAATAAAGTTCTGAACAGACTCATTGTTTCCAAAGAAATATCCCTTCTTATAGAGGAAATTAGACCTGAAATCGAATGCAAGTCTCTTCATGAGATGTAACTGTCATGATACATGATCAGCCTAATTTTAATATTCCTAGACTCCACCTTTCTCCAGATGAACCAGCCAACATCAAAGTACCAATTTCAACCAGTTGACACCATTAAACATCTCATTGTGTACTAGTTTTTTATAGCTTCAATTGATATTGATCACCATGGAATAGCCTTAAACGACATTTCTTAAAAAATTCTAATTAATCTGTAATACTGTTCACTAAAGTAGTTTACTACCAACATCAGTGCACCGGTTTTTGTTAATTTTTGTGTCTCACAGATGATAAGCTTCCACAACTAAATGACAATGACAATGTCAATGTCACTTGTCAATTCTTGGTTTACATTTTGACTATCCTGGTTTTTGTCACCAAATCTACACTGGATATCGAATCAGGTTGGATAAATTTGGCTTTTCTTTCTTACTATTTTCTAAATTATAGTTTTTGTCTGACTTCTGTAACCAACCATCAACCAGTATTCTTGATATCGCTGTACGGCTAATGTTTTTAACCAAGTTTTATAGCCAACTTCAACTGTGTTAATCGTGTCTTTACTATCCCATTGATTTTTAATGATTGACTTTGCAATATGAACAGCTAAAAGGGAGGAAAGAGAAATCATTTAGAGATATTGAAAAGAGGCAAACAGACAGATAATTGTGATAAGAGGAGATAAGAAAATGATGAAAAATATAAAGATGATGGGAATACGAGAGAGATAAGAGGGAGAGAGAAAAGAGAGTTTATTGGCATTGGAGGAATAAATTATTTTCCATGTTTACCTCACAAGAAGAGAGTTAGAGAAAGAAATTTTCATCATCAAGGTTAATTTCAGTTTCAGGCTACGAAAGGCTATTACAATTCTTTCTTTTTCCCCTTCTGTCTCTCACTATCCTCTCACTTCTTTTCCTTTTTATGTGTCGCTCATTTCTCTGATTAACTTTGTAACAAAATTTTCCCCTTTCATAAAATCTACAGACTAATCATCACCAGTTTCAATTGCTAGGATAACCCAAAGAAATCCTCAAGATATGGAAAACAACGATAAAGAAGAAGCTAAGCGTGAAAATGGAGTTGAACCTGGTCGTCCACCAACCCCACAGACATCTTCATCTTCTGCAGCGACATCCCCATCATCGGTTCCAGATCAATCTTCCCAACAAAACAAAACATCTCCTGGATCAAGTCTACAAGACCAACAAACACAAACCAAAAATTCTCGAGCTCCAAAACAAGGATTAATGCAGCAATTAACTCCTCAACAGATTCAACAATTGCAACAAGCCAAACAGCAAACTCAGCAACAAAAACAAGCTGATGGACCTTCTCGGAAGATATCACAGTCAAGTGGAGCCAAACCTTTTCCAATTCGAGGTTATTAGTAGTTATTAATTATTAATTGTGCATATGTGTGTTTGTTGTTACCATCATCATATTACAACACAGGAAATTAAGATTGAAGAGTATAGTCTTGTTTTAAATCAAATGTTTCTTTATATTTTTTCCCGGGATTACAGGTGATCGAACCACGAGTTATGTTAACATACCCCATATTATTGCCATGGTTGGTTTGCCTGCCAGGGGTAAAACGTATATTGCCAAAAAGTTGACTCGATACCTTAACTGGATTGGAATAAAAACTCGGGTGTTTAATGTCGGTGAATATCGTCGTCAAGCAACTGAAGCTTACAAAAATCATGATTTCTTTAGACCTGATAATAAAGAAGCAATGGTTATTAGAAAGTAAGTCAAATTGTTTACAATAACAAGCTAAATTATCTTTGATTTATGATAGTATTATATATGATCTACGAAAGATTTTTTTCTGTTATTATTTTGATTCATAAACTTATTTACCTCTGATTATTATGTAACTTAATAATGATTGAAATATCTTTTATTTTCCAGTAAGTGTGCTTTAGATGCCCTTGAAGATATGTGTAGCTGGCTGACTGAGGGTAACGGTGAAGTGGCCGTTTACGATGCTACCAATACAACTTTTTACCGGCGCCAGTTGATTTACGATTTTGTTGTTGAAAAATATGGCTACAAATTGTTTTTCGTTGAATCAATCTGTGAAGATCCAGAGATTGTTGAAGCCAATATTCGGGTCAGAAGATATCTTTGCTTTGCCCCAATTTTACTTTGCAATTATCATCCCGCCTTTATCAGCCTTTAAGAAATGAGTGAATTTCAAGTGTGTTTCATTTCCCAGGAAAATTTTCTCAATGCTTTACCGAAATTTTCAATCGCAGCTATTAGCTTTTATAAAATTAGCCTCGAATTCATTTTGCCAAACAAAACAGTACCAACTGTTGAAGCAAAAGTAAAATCATGCCAAGAACTTTCGAACATCTATTTATGTAAATAAGAGCACCTGAGAAAAATGATAAAGAAAATAATTATGTTGGTAATGAGGAAAACTTTAACATTGTCTGAATTAATCGAAATTAGCTTTTCGTTAGCAACTGATTAATTACAAAGGTGTGTTGGTGACGCTTGACTCTTTTCCTAGTGATGACAGAGATAATTGATTTTGATTAACATCGCACCAAGAACAGGATGAAGACTTGTCATAACTTGTCTGGATTCAATTTTTATTGTCTCCAACCAGTTTTTATTGGCAGAATAAAAGAAAAGTTATGTGCTTTTTCTGCTCAATCATACTGACATGAATCTAGATGTGATTATCTTGTTGATTCTAGATATCTATTCGGAAATCATCCAGATCATCAATTCTAGATTAACTGTCACCGAAATCCTTAAAACAATGGTTCACATTTTTCACCATTACACTGCGATCACTTGCATCCTAAACTCCTTCACCATTTTAATGTAAACATTTTCATTACAGGAGGTTAAAGTTCATAGTCCGGATTATCGTAACATGGCTCAAGATAAGGCATTACAGGATTTCCTCCAACGTATTGAGCACTACAAGGAAGCATATCAAACACTAGAGGAAGATAAAGAAAAGGATTATTCTTTTATGAAGATTTTTAATGCTGGAGAAAAGGTTTTAGTTCATCGTCACGAAGGCCACATACAGTCAAGAGTGGTTTATTACTTGATGAACATTCACATTACACCCAGATCAATTTACTTAACTCGTCATGGTGAAAGTGTCTACAATCTACAGGGAAGAATTGGCGGTGACTCCGAGCTTTCTGAAAGAGGATGTCAATATGCTAAAGCTTTAGCTCAATATATTTCAGAGCAAAAAATTCCACGTCTACGAGTATGGACATCTCAACTGAAACGAACCATTCAAACAGCTGAAAGTATTCGAGCTCCTCAGGAAAGATGGAAGGCTCTCAATGAAATTGACGCCGGAATTTGCGAGGAAATGACTTATGAAGAAATTCAAGAGAAGTATCCAGAAGAGTTCGCATTGCGTGATCAGGACAAGTTTCATTATCGTTATCCAAAAGGAGAGGTTAGTAAAGTCTTTGAATCCCAATTTCTTCCTCTTCAAAGTACTTCAAATCTGCAATTCGTCAGAAAATCAATTAATTCAATGTTTTGCTTATAGTCATATGAAGATTTGGTAGCTCGCTTGGAACCAGTCATTATGGAACTAGAGAGACAAGAAAATGTTTTAGTGGTGGCTCATCAAGCTGTTCTTCGATGTCTTTTGGCCTACTTCTTGGACAAGAGTTCAGGTAAGCACAATATAACTTAAATATTAATAATAGTTTTTAATTGACTAAAAAAGGTGTAAAAGGGAATGGGATGGACTTGTAAATATTGAGTAATTCAAAAGATTGATTGGTTAGGTTCAGCTACAAGAAATAGAAGAAGAGTAGAACATAATTTCAACAATATTTACAGGTTTCCGAATCCTGAATTAACTTCAGAAATGAGAATCATTACAACTTGTTGAAATGCTACTCTTTGCAATCTGTATTGAAAGATTGTCTAAGCTTCATCATTATGAGAGTAATCTGTACTTTCTCGATTAATATAAAAGTTTTTAGCTCACTATGTGATAACCATAAAATTAATAAAACATGATAATCAGCCAGCTGAATAACTAACAATTCAACTCACCTTATAAACAGTATATCGAAATTTTGAAAGAGCTAGTCATTTCTTTTAATAGTATTGCTTGTAGTTACGAGTCGCTTTGTTGTCCATTGTTGACTAATAGATTGTGTTGATTCTGATTAAATATTTGAAATGATCCATTGAACAAATCAGTCACAATTTACATGATTGATCTTAGACTTTGTATTCCTCCTTCTCCTTTCCCTTCCTTAGCTGAGATGCCAGTAATCAAAACTCCATTACATACCATCATCAAGTTGACACCAGTGGCTTATGGTTGCAACATTGAGGAAATAGTTGTTCCAATTGATGCAGTCGATGATCACAAGCTTCTATGACATAAAGAGAGAGTGAATAAAATAAAATAAATTAAATTATATTAAAGATTAAATAATGGCATAGCAATACAGTAACAGAATCAAACACAAGAAAAACAAGATTTGTTATGAACGATGACTAATTAAAAAAGCTTACCTTAAGCGGGAAAATTGAGACTTCAAAAGAGTTTAAAAAATGAGAGTAAAGATGATAAAAATGTTGATCATGGAATAATAGTTTGCTAGAAAGACAACAATTGACTGATAAACAAACACGCAATATAACTAATTCTAATACTCCTGAAAATGAAATTAACTTTAACTTCAACTCGACAAGCCTTCAAAAATCCCTCTCTTTAACTGACCATTTTCATTGGTAACTACTAATCACTTTGACTACCAAGCTTTTTGTCAAATCATACGATTTAAAACTAAATCCACTCGGATTATTATTAACACAAGGAGCGGCAACCTAAATATCTTCTGGCTTCACAACCCGATTAAATCATCACCATAAAACTAAATCTTGTTCCATCCAAAATCAAAGACATTATGATAGTTTGCTAATTGTTGCGAGATCACTTCTTTCACTAACCCAATGCTATTGTCGATAAAAATATATTTCTGTTAAAATGATTGCAATTTTAAAAGGTGTTAGCTAACAAGTTATATTGGACATTCTGTTAACTAAGCTCAATTGCTTGAAATAATTTACCTATTTTCAGTTATAAATTCAATAAGGCTGCTCAGTAACATGATGTTGAATATGAAACTTGCTGTTACATATGAAAATATAAAAATACAATCAAAAACAGTCGAGTACATAAAACTGTTCTTTGCTGATCTATCGATTAAATACCGTTAAATTGTAAACAAATCTTTAGATGGTTTTAATCATTTGTGATCTGCATATTTATATAAATTAGACTTAAATATACATCGATTTGAAATTTAAATCTGAAAAAATAATCAAATATTGCGCCTTTGAAACTGAAACATTTAACGGACAATTTTTGCTACTCGACTGTAATTGTAAACATCTGTAACTTATTTTGAAAAGTCAAAGTACAAATACATTAAAACTAAAGATTTTAAAAATACTCCAGTTATTGTAATTAAATTAAGCAATTAACAGCTGTTAACACTTAACAATTTTGATTTAAAAAGTTTGTTGAATAGACATATCTAAATGTACTATAAACTGTTAACTGTTTACAAGCATAACTTGTGATTATATAAATTTAAAATGAAGTAACCTATTATTGATAATGATTATATAATTGTTCATATTTTTGTTTCCATGTTTCAATATTTTACTGTTTTCATTTTCCCCTCCATAGATACCTTTATAAAACACCAACCATTTACGTCGTTTTCCCATTGAAATTTTGTCTTTATCCATTATTTGGTGAAGAAACACACAATTGAATCTTAAGTCTTGTACATTAATTAATAAATGTCATTTGTTTTCAACCATTTTTTTCTTTCTCTTCTTTTCTCTTTTTCTTTCTCTATTGTAGAAGATCTTCCTTATTTGAGGGTTCCATTACACACAATAATTAAATTAACTCCAATTGCCTATGGGTGCGAGGTTACCGAATACAAGGTTCCCATTGAAGCGGTTAACACTCATCGAGAGAAACCTAAGGTGAGGAAATTATCATGGAATGAAGAAGAGAGAAATTTAAACGAAATTAGAAAGTTTTAAAAATAAATAACTAATTAGAAAAAGAAGGGAACAGTAAGAAAAAATGAAACCAGAATAATTACCAGAATGTGAGATAACTGTATAGACACATCAAGTTTCTACTCATCACATGTTTGCTGTTACCTAGCAATCCTTTTTGCACTGTTTGTTCAATTCCGTTAATAGGTCACTTATTAAGTGTTATAGCTCATCTTTATGTTTTGTGTCGTTGATGTTATATTTGTTTTAATCGTAATTGTGTTAATCGTATCTTAAATTCATGTTACAAATCACATGTTTCACTAGTCTTATAGTCTGTCTTTTGTCGTTTCTTTTGTACCCTTTCCTTCCATTGTTTCTTTTGTGATTGTTTCTTTTTACAGATTAGGCCAGAATTGCCGTTTTCATCCTATCCTCATAGATCATCACTTGTTGATGTTCTGGCTTTAACATTGAGCCAGGAAAAGGCTGGTCTCAGGCGTCATTCCTCAACACCCAGGAACTCTGATTATTACAAATATTAGCGAAAATAGAGCGAAATCAAGATCACACGGATGGATTTCCCCATGATGATCTTTTCGTTTTTCAGTGTGGTCATTTGGCACTGATATTATTGATTATTCTTGTTGAAAGAAACTCATATAGCCAAGAGAAAAAAAATTATTCGTTACGTCAAACTTCTTAGAGCTTATCAATCCCTCCGAATTCATTGATGACTTTGGTTTCTTCATCAATTTTTCCATTTGTCCACATTCATTCGTCTTGCCTTGCAACTTAGAGCTTCTACTATTCAAGTGATACAGCAACAAACCACCAATAATTCATCGTACACTGTTTACTAGCAAATTGGTCCTGATTTACAAAACAAGTAATTTGTGTCTTTGTGCCTACTTGGGTTAACACATTTTTTTCTGGGAAACCTATTGCAACATGTTCATTTAATCTCTCGAATGCTACAGATTAGCAATTCTACTTCAATCATCGTGTACTTAATGAATTATATCTCATTTTTCAATCCACCTGACTTTTAATCCCTGTCTTTGGTAGAATCTGATAACCCATGAAACCTAATCTTTTCAAGTTTTTGCCAATTGTTTCTTTGATTCCTTTTTTTCCTTCTAATTTCTACCTCTTTCCATACGATCTCTGTTAACTGTACGCTAATCTCATTGCTTTTGATCTAACAATCTTCCCTCAACCTGATTCAATCGTTCATGCTTCAATGTTTTCAACCTTTTTGTTTTCTTTCCAAATCATTGTTTATTGATTGTTGAATATGTTTTAGCTTAAATGATTTTATTTGTATTTCTTGTGTTTTCATTCCTATCATATGTTTGATCCTTTTTTTTGTTTTTTAGTGTAGTTGGTAAATTTAAGTAAATATCCATTAATGATCTAATCAAATTTTACTTAATGCTGTCAAATATGTTATTTTTATGTCCACTGATCCATGCTTGTTTCAGCTTCAATCTAATTGCATCTTCTTCCCCAAATAGAACTGTAGCCGACATAGAACTGCCGACGAGGCTCTGACGACCGTTCCATCTCATCCAATGTGAGAAAGGTGAGTTTGAATATTGGGAGAATGAAAAATGAATTGGAAAATTGGTGGACAAATCAATGGATATGATGATTAATCTGTATCGAATTATTATATAAAATTGTATGCATCTTAATAAGAAATTTGTTTAGATTTTATATCACATTTAATTGTAAAATTTTATTTTGTAATCGTAATTATTATATGGTGATAAATTATTGTTTCAATATTGATTAACAGTCGACTTGTCTTACAATTAAAAACTAAGTCAATATTTCAAATCAATTGTTTGATTCGGGTTTTCAGGCCTTTATATACCATTGAAATATAACATTACCATAGAGAAGAGAATTAAAAGATTTCGATCAAATGAATAAATTGTAGAGTACTTTTTGGTCATCACAAGGACAGAATACGTTTTTTTGGTCTTCAAGTTTTGGGTTTCGTCGGTTTAAGTTGATAAATAAATAAAATGGCACGCAATAAATTAATATTAACAAACAGATAACAAATTAATGACGGTAAGATGTATAGGAATTGATAGTATTTGGTCAAGAATTGGAGATATCTTATGTAAAAGGAATAGCTGTGTTGGAGAAATGACTTTGACGTTGATGACAAGACTTGTGATAAGCATGGTTCTCAGCAAAAATGCTCAGTTTCCATTTTGGTTTGCCTTTGATTCTCAAAGCCAAAAATAATGCTTTAAATAGCGTAGGAGCTGAAATGTCGCGATGATTAAAAAACTGCCAAAGAAAATTTCAATCGGAATCTTCTTTAGATTCGATTTCCAATTTTTCAAGATTGCCTTGAGTAAGCTCAAGGATATGCTCAACAGGATGGGGTTTACCATCTTCACCAATCCGACAAGGTTGGACGATGCCAGTTCTACATTTGAAGACAAATAAATTTCATCAGAATAATGGTTCAAAGTATGCTATATCATAATAATGATAACGAATGAAAAACAAACCTGTGAAGTTTATCCATCATGTTGACAAGCTTCATAGCTTCGTATTCTTTCTCTTCTTGGCTCATTCCTTCCATTGGATTAGGTCTCTCTGGCTCATAATATCCTGTGACTGGATTAATCCTAGAAAATAGATGAACAATAAATATGAGTAAATGATGAATTGAGAGAAGAAAATTTGCAAGAGATCAACATACTTTTCTTTCACTTTCAAATACTCTTCAGTGTCGCTGTCTTCAGATTCACTTGAGTAACTTCCTTTTCCTCGACCGCCCAGCATAAGACCGCGATTTGCTAATAAACCAGCAGCATTGCCGTAACCAGTGTATTTGATAAGCCTTTGAACACTTTCTTTACACAATATAAACAGAAAGTCGGCAACCATCTCTTTCACATCAGTGTTTGGGTTGGTCATAAGTCTAACCAATTTATTGCGAAGAGTTTCACCATCTTCTGGCCTATTTTTAACATCCCGTAATGGTGGAAGAATTTGACTTCTCAGATACTTTCTAATTATCCGATTAGTTCGAGCCATATTGCTCAAACAAGTTAATACTGGTGAGAGTAATTCTTGTAATCCTTTGTATGGTTTAAGGGGCTGTAAAATAAAATTAATTTGGAAAGATTAAAAAGATGTATTATTTAAAAGAAGCTTGAATTAATTACCTTTTCAAGACGTTTATCAAGAAACTCCAACAAAACGGCGATGGCTTCTACATTCTTATCTTCATATTCGTATTTTGGGTTGTCTATTCGACCGATTTCTTCAATTGGAACCAAAAGTTCCTCATAACAAGAGGAAGGTAAGTTTGTAAATAAGTTGATCGTATGGTTGAGCATTTCTTCACGCTTCTCTTTTGTTTCAGTTTCAGTTAAAAGAAGATCATGAAGAATACCAACGAGTCTGAGAAAATGAGCTTCCTCAACCTAATTAAATGAATGAAAATGAATTGATTGAAAATAATTAGATATTAGAAATAGATTGTAGATAAATATTACTCAAAACTCACCTCATCTAAATACACTCGGTCGCAAGTTACTGTCAGGTTGAAAAGTACTTTCAAAACTTCACAGCATAGATCCACGGAAGAATTATCAAGACTATGAGAATCCTTGTCTTTTTTAGTATTAGTTTGTTCAGTAGAATGGGAATTCACTTCAACAGTAACTTTTGCTTTATCCTTTTTTCGTTTTCTTTGGCTCTTTTTTGAAGGTTTTTGTCCTGGTTCTTCAGCTTCTTTTAGTATCAGATCAACCGCTTCCATCAAATAGATTAACCCATGATATTGATCACGAATTTTGGGACGTGTTTCTGGACAAAGAGCTGTTATGAGAAACAAAATTCTCAAATCAAAATATTTAACCTCAGTAGGCAATTGTGGATCTTTGTACATTTTTAGTCTCAACATAATTCCATCAATGCAGGAATTATTGCAACAAATGTGTCGAACGGCAGGACTATTATAAACAAGGTTACAAAGACATTTTAGTGATTCAACCACAACCCGGGCGTCAAAATTGTCACTGTTGTAAGTCAGATTTTCTTGTTCTCCAACTAAACGAGATAGGTGCATTAAGATTTCAATTCGATCCGCGGTAAACAGCTCATCTAATCCATTTTTATCACGTGAGAGTATTCTTAGTGTTGTTAATAGAACAGGATAGTGTTTCTGATGTGCTGGATCCTTGAGATGCCGGAAGATATGAGCGGCAAGTTTATTTTTCTTTGCCACTGGCTCTTGAATAGTAGAGACTTGAGCCCACTAAAAAAATATAATCATAGTAAAGATGCGACATCAAAAAAAAAACAAAATTGAATAACTGTTGTCATACATACCTGTAAATTGAAGCCTGTCAAACTGTCCACAATATCTTTGATTGTGCCAACAGTAAAAGAATCCAAAACTCGGTCCATATCCATGATGGTGATTTAACAAAAATGATGGCACAGAGAAACTTCACTAATTCAAATAATTAAAGGTAAATTAGACGTCAAACAGGTAGTTTATATTATGACATCTATATAGCTGCTATATTATAGCAGCTTATGGCTGCATCTCCAACGCATCATCATTTGCTCATGTGCCTGGACACAATCAGATTCATCAGCCTTGGAAACAAAACAAAGAGTAAAGTAAAACTGTTTGTATTACAGTTTGGCAAAAAAAGATAGAGCCACCAGTTACAAGACATTTACAAGACAATCGAAGTCATGGTCCTACATTGCTGTTGGAATTCGGGTTTTTTTTTGAAAATCGTTCTTTTATTGTCGCTTTATCCACCAAACCTTCATATTTTTTCATCTTCTTTCTGGTAAAAACGTCTAACACTGTTCAAGGCTTGAAAATTTTCATAACCAAAGTCTGTACTCTTTTGCATATCTTCAAGAATTTTAGAATCAAGATTTTTGCCTTTTGATTTACCATAAGTAGAAACTTTTGTGTCTAATGGCAGTTGGTAGATATTTCGTTTTATTTGTTAGTATTACGATACTGCTGTGTCGTGAAAAGCGGGTTAAACGTGAATGATTATACAAGTTAGACTGCAAGGGACGACTTTATTATTTTAGGTTAGTATCAATACAATTTAGTAAAACAAATCTTGGGTACCAACTTAATAATGACTTGACATTCAAGGGTCGATTTCAATTATCATTAAAATCTTTATTCCAACTCTCCTGAAGTCAGAAAGATAAACTTTTTTATCAGATAAAATGAATTTCCTCATTATAAACCAGTGTGCATTACCATATATTCATGATACAAATATGGTTAACAATTAAAACTTCCTTAGCCTCTCTAATCGGTGGGAAAATATCTCATAAACCTTACTTTATGTAAATCATTAAACATATAGTCAATATTCATTTCACACTGGTTCAGAAAATATTTTGTTTCCGAACGTAATCTGTTTCACATTCATTTATGATATGTAATTTAAGTTTCTCATTTAAAGGAAATTGCTTTTTGAGCTTTTGAATTTAAATAAATATCTTTCGAATTGATTCAAAATGAAACAAAATCATTAGTAAAACAGACAAAAAAACTTTGATATCCCAATACATCTCGACGATTAGTATTAAAGGTCCAAAGTATTGATTTTACTCAAAAGGTGGCAGCATTTAATATCAAATTAAAACCTTTTACTTCATCATTTCGGTCTTAAGTTAGTTTCTGTAAGATTTGAACATTTTTCATACAATTAAGGGTGCTCTATCGATTGGTAATGAAATTTGTCTGGTGTAAATCAGGCAGAAGCTGTCATTGTTATTTTTGATTAGATTATTATAGTAAATGTTAAAGATGGTTGATCGAAACCTGATCAATATTAGATTTACTAATAAATTGATTGTTTTGTCAAATCAACTAAAAGATGGCAAATCTTCCAGTTAACTGCCAGACGTTGGTCTGAATTTTGTTTTTATTATTTTATTTCATTTCAATGGTCTAATACCATTGGAATTTATCTTTAAATTAATCAATAGATTCAGATATTTCATTGTGAAAAAGCATTAAAATTGTAGATGGAAAACAGTAAAAGATGAATTTGGATCGTCGCAAGAGGATGGTGATAATTTATCATAAGTAATGTGTTTACTATGGATAAAATTGATTCAAATATTTTCCCGTCCTATTTTAGTTTCCATTGACTTGCAAAGAGGAATCATATTTTACAAGTGGGTTACATGACAAGAACCCAGAAAAGATGATAAAGTTGACACAATCTACAGACTCAAGGATGTTTCATGTTAATGTTAACCAAAAAAGCAAATTTGTGACTCTCATCTGTTGGTACCAACTCAAGGTTTACAACTCAACTTTCTGGTGGCTCTGTCAATATAATAACATTTACTATCGTTGGATTGAACATGGTGTAAGTTACTTAATACACAGCAACTTTATAAAACCTGTCAACTTTTGTTGAAGTCATCTTTTCCTGAAAATAACCTTTTCTCTGTTTTCCCTTCCAGAAGAAAGCAAGAGTTGACTATCGAGACAGTACAGTTAAGGAGAGGAGGCAACACAAAAAAAGACCCAAAAATGAGTTCAAGAAGATGGTTTCGATGAAGATGATGAAGCCAGTGATTAGGATGGTAATGAAGCTGATGGTGAAGCTGTCTATAGAGCTAGCGGTATAGCTGGTGTAGCTTGTGGTGGTGAGGAAAACAAACCCATACGGAATGACTTGAGATTATAATTTAAAGGCTTTACATTTATGATTATAAATGAACGGTCATAACAGCAAGTTAAACCAACTGACAGCATAAATATAAGATAAAAAAGCTAACCAAGTAGGCCAAAATAATGAGGATTACTACACCAATAACAAAAGCTGAAGCACAAAGCTCAAGTGAAACCAAACCAAGGAAAAGTTATTGCAAGTACATAATAATATCCATCCATCTAATACATACAGACAAAGTGGAAAGCCTTAAAAAAACAGTTAACACTATTGGTTATGTTACACGTTATGTACATATCTGGTTATAAGGTCAGGTTACGTTCAAATTTTACGCCAATTTGTGTTCACCAAATGATGTAATAACTCTTACTCTTTTGTGTCTTTCTTTACATTTTGTTTTGCCTTTTCAGGTACAAACAATATAAACCATTTTTTGCCCATCTTTTAATATGCTCTGGCCAACCCAAAAGTCGTAAACAAGTCAACTCAAGGACGGAGGATAAAGATCATTCCAGCTGACTGCCTTAAACCCACCATGGTTATGGCACCCTCAACAGTATCTTCGCCCTCTTTTTAGGATTCTTGGTTCCTGTCTTTTCTCAGAATGTATACTCATAAAGCATTACAAATCGATAATACATTCAAACGGAACATTGTGATAAATCAGAATAACCTTGATGATCATTCTGGGAGTGTAATGTTATTACATCTTGATTTTGCCTCTGACTCTCATGTTCCTCGCTTTTTGCCTCTTTTTATCACCATTTTTCTTTCTGAATTTTCATGGTGTAATATGATTCTTTTATGAGTATTAACTACATTCTAACCTTTTCACTGTAAACTCTTTTTTTGCTATCTTTTATTTGTTTCCATATTAATGGAAATTTCTGTTCCACATAACCATTTCAATGTAATTTGTTTTCCCTTTTTTATGTCTACAGCTTTTAAATATCACTCATAATGGTGAACAATTTTCAATGTAAAACTTGCATTCGTTGTCTTCAGTCTTGAATTTATGAAATATTGACTTTGATTGTTGGGAAAGGAAGGAAACAAAATTAGTATTTACTCTCGATTGACTTTTTATTGGTAAAAATTTTCTCCTTTTTGTTTCACTCTTCATCAGTTGATAGACAGAAATCATTTTCATGATCAGCTTCATCCCTGTAAACATTGCATTTAACATCATTTTTTGTTTTCTTTTCATCTAAAAGCTCTTTCTTCATCAAGGTTATGAGGAAGACTTAATGTCAAAGTTGGTTGAACATAACAAATTATCGACTTCTTTTTTGGTCCCAAATTCAGAACTAGGTCATTGTCTATGTTAACAACCATTTCCTTATGAAATATCGCAGCAATTTTTGTTTCTCTCAGCATTTTCCTTCTTTTTGTCGTTTTGTGATTCCTTTGTAAATTTTCAAGACAACTTATTCACTATTTAGTTGATTATCTTTTGTTAAATCACCAGTAATTTACCTTTTTCCTTACAATTCCTTAATTTGTTCCTCTTCTTCACCATCCTCAACATCATAATCTTACCACCATCTTTCCCTTGAAGAGTCAGTTTTATAAATATTCAAACATTCTTATTGTCAACGTTAACCTTAATTAATGATGGTTAATTAATCATCAACCTAAAAGATTGAGCTTTTAATCGAGAAAGTAAAGCCACACTATTTAAATCAAATCAATCAATCAATAATTTAACGCCTCAAGTCAAAAATAAATTTCACTCGCTTAATTAGCATAAGACCCCTAATCATATGGCTTTTTCCCTCGCATTCAAAAGCACATTGTTACATAAGTTGGTCAACTTTCTTTTCTTTTATAATTAATTTATTAGTGTTAATTGTTTTTTATAGACATTTTGTTTTTACCAAGTTCTGTACTGAGTTTCACTGAAGTTAATTGTTTGTGATTCAACTTTTTTTTAAAACCAAGGGAAATGGAAAGTCAAGTGATCTATTGGCAAAGTAAGTCTTATCCATTTATCATTGTTGATCGATTGTAAAGATAATTTCCTATTCTGTCCATTAAAATTACTGCAGAACCTTTTTACCTTTTTCCTGTTTCTCTCCAGAGAATCAGCATCCACTAGGATTAACCATAGCAACGGAATTTAGATGATAAAACTCAATCGATATCGTGTTAAAACCTTACAACCAAAAGATGCAAAGATTGACTTTTAAATAGCGTCACACAGAAGAGACTGTCTAGGATAATGTGGAGTTGGGAATACAAAAGGAGAACAATAAGGAAGAAATGGAAAAATCTCTTTATTTAACTCTATTAGAAGAACGGACATGTTGCCAATGATGATAATGGCGATGCTGATGTAGATTAGGATGATGTCGATGTTGATACAAAAAGCTTCCTCCTTCTTGGTCATCATCATCTTCCGCTGCTGTTGCTGCTGCATCTTGAGGGATCACGGCTCGTGGTTTATGATCCATGGTAAAAGGTGGTAAAAGATTGTGACTCACTTCAACAATTTATTCCACTATTTAATCACTTCTTTCACTTGATCATCGGCAGCAACTTGTAACCAATCAATCTACATACCGACAACCTTTTAATACTGAAGCAAAATTCGTATGATTCATTCATATTTTTTTCATTTCACTGTTTTTAACTGTTGATAAATTCAAATTTATTTTGATTTGATTAACCCGTAACCAAAACCATTCTCATTTAAACTTGTCAAGTTTAACAAGGTTCAAACCTAAATTGAAGGTTTTTATTGATAATCTAATAAATTGACTATTACAATAACCAAATGAACCGATTGTATCGTTAAATTAGATTATGAATCAAACCACATCAAATTAATTCGAAAAAACATTCTCTAACCATTTTTTTCCTCTATTTTTCTTATTCATTGATAGAGTAGGAATCAAAGGATTGTCTAAATATTTTGGTTACACCTGTTTTGGTAATGTATCAAATGATAATTGATTGATTAAATGGTTGACAGTTAAATTTGAAAAGAGCCTAAAATTAAATTTGAATTGGTTTGTAATCAAGTTTGTTTCCCTATTCCTGTTAACTGACTCATTTTAATGGTTAATTGTGACTCAAGTTTGCGTGATATTAATTGATTTTCTGGTCGATTTCTACGTTTTCTTTATTAAACCATTCAGATATTTGAGTGGACCAAGAAAAGGACAGCAATAACAGGATTTAAATAGCAAATCAAACGCAACTTTATTGGACCCTTTCCTTGCAGTTAAATAGTTAAGTTTATGTTGAATTTAAACTTAAACAGTTATCATGATGATCAGTATAAAAAAAGCCTCCAAGTATTACAAACTGTATACAAACTCATTGGATGGACTTTGGTTTCTTGTAATTTATTTTGGGCTGCAGTCAATTTTTAATGTGTTAACCCTTTTAACCAGAATTCAATTTGAAACTGCAATTTAAGAAAACAAACTCACACCAAATTTGCTGATTCCCGGAATTGCAACTGTAAATGAACGCTGTTTATTGCTGGCTCAAATTGTAATGACCAAATTTGACACAAAAGAAGTTTCATCTTCTCTAACAAATGATTAATTATCTACATTCATCTGTTTTCAATCAGGAAAACAGTCAATCACTTGCCAATTGAAATTCAACCAACGATAACAATTAACAAGCCATACAGTGAAAATGATAAACATGTTAAACACTTAACCCATCGCTTACAAAAATTAACAATTGCTTCAACTTATACAATTGAACATACAACTCTAGTCCGTTAATTGGCACACTTTAAGTCAAATTACATTTGACCATCTTTAACCAAACAATTGTTAGCTGTTGATATTTCCATATCCTTTAATTGTTACAATTACATGGGAATATTTTTGGTTCATCTGTTTACTTATCAATGTTTCTCAGCTTCCAAACTGTGAAAAGGTTTCATTTAAAATTAACTTTCAATCTGTTTAATGTTTCAAATTGATTTGGTTAACAATCTTGGTTAATTAATGATTGGTTAAATGCAGAAAAGTAAATGTTTGACAGAAGATAATTAATTATCATTCAATTGTGTGCCCAAACTGGTAACTGTTAAAAGCAAATGAAGACCAACTGAATCAACTTGTTAAACTGTAATTGACATGGAAACTGACACAGATTAATGTTTAAAGATTTATTCATCTTAATCTAGATGTTAACCATTGAGTTAATTAAATAGAGTGACAAACGACAAACTGAAACAATTAGCTTAACCCAATAATCAATCATATTTTTTCACCTAAAATGGAAACACTTGTTTCTTGATTGAGGCCTTTGTGTGTCCCTTGAAACCATTGAAAAAGGTCATGATTAAAGATGATGTTTATCAACAATTAGATGAGCAGTTGATTGTTGTCATTTGACAGATTGATTATCAGATTGAAATGTAGTGTAAACATGAAACAGTAAACAGGGAAATGAAAGTTTGATTCAAAACTGATTGAATGTCAACTCACCTTGTACCTAAAAATAGATTGAAGTAAACAAATGAAGCAGACAGTTTGATTGGTAAAATCAACAGCTAATCAATTGATTAAAACTAAACAGGTCACAAGGAATTGTTGATTAGTTGATTGAAATCAGCCTTGAGGGTTAATGTATATTGCTTATCAACATTAACATTTTAGACCAAATGTTTCAATCAACTGTCAGGGTTTGTTATGGTCAAACTGTTGATTCCTGAAAGACAATTGTTTTATATTTTTAAATACAAATGTTGCATATTAAACGGTAGATTATAATTCACAGTTAATCAAGAGTTGATGTGTGATAATTGGCAGTTAACAGCAGTTTCAAAAATCATCATTTAGAAATGATTTTACATTTTGTTTACTAATTTACATTTAAACAGAAAATGAGTTTTCATTTTTTCGCTGCTTTTTTTGCGGTTTAAGCTGCCAGCTATTTTTGATTAGTAAATTGTTTCCCTTGGACAACAGCAAGATTATTGATAATTGCTACAATCAACAGCTTATTATACATTTCATCAGTTGGTTGAATGTTGAAGCAATTGTTGAAATATACGCAAGATTGAAATACGAATTAACATTTAGATTAAACGTGTAATTTAACCAGCTAAATGGTTTCAATTGTTACACCTTTCAGAGTGTTAACGGTGGTAATGTTGATTATCGTCAGTGTAATAATGATTTTATCACAGAGGCTCATTTAACCCTAAAAATAGCTGTTTAAGTTGAAATTTAACGGCATGGAAAAGGCAAGGAATAAAGATTTAAGATCAAGATTAAGATGAATTTAAGGGAAATGAAGATGAAAATGGTGATGAGAACAAGTTATGACAAAAGATTCATTTTACTTCATCAACATCATCCCCATCCTCATCTTACAGTTTTTATTTTTGAACACCAAACAGCTTTACAACTGTCAAAACTGTGTACATCTTATTGTATATTGTGTAGTTAAAATTAACTTACCAACTTTATATCTAATTGAAATATGTGTAGCAACTTAAATTACAATTTATCCTCGCTTGAAAATTGTAACTCCATTAGTTAGGTTTACAATTACAGTTAGATTAATTTGAAACAAAGTTAGGCCTGAGACAAGAGCAAGACCTGAGTTAGGCCTGAGATGAACCAAGAAAGGGTCTATAAGAAAGGGAAAAATAAGCTCATTTGCTAAATTAGATTTGATAATTACCTGGGAACCAATTAAACGAGAAAGCTGTTCCTTTTATACACAACAAATGTTGAGCTTTTTCAATTAAAATCCTTATAATTTAAAGATTATACACAATCAGGATTAAGATGGATGTTAATTAAAGTAGGCTCATTTGGGGAAAATAAAGGCACCAAAAACACAACATTTTATGAGATTAGAGGGAAAATCGTTTTAGTTAATTGTTTGAGTTGGGGTTAAAATTGTACAGTTATTAAATGGGAACAAGTTTAAGCAAAGGTAAATCAACATTAAAACCTTTAAATTGTAATTTAAGTTTTATTTAAAAAGAGTCCATTTATCGTCAATTTATGTAAGATATTAAAATTGAAGAGACGAAAAATTAATAGATAACCAGAAAAAGTGTTGATAGATGTCAGCATTAATTTTTTCGTCTTTATTTTCATTTTTTGTTTTTATTGTTTCCTTTAAAATATTTATTTATCAGTTTTAAATTGTTTGGTTAATTATTCATTCCAAGGAAAGGTTTAACCAACTGGTCAAGTCAAGTGTTAACAATAATGACCATCTTTAAGATATTTGTCTGTTGATTAATCGTGGATATTTTATTGTTACCATCAATATTTGTTGTATCTAATGTTCAACCTACACATCTATTTGAATAGCAAATAAACACTCACACATCCATACACACCTACCTCAATCATTCAGTTAATTCATTGAATAAACTCATGATAATGGCATCTTCATTAAGTTTTAACCAAGTGACCAGACAAACAAATAACAATAATATTGATGATAATCAACTATTTAACCCGTCAATCAATCTTGATGCAACCATAATGAACAGAAAAGACTTTCACTCTCAATGTTTTGTTTTTCTTATGTTGATGTGTTTTCACTTATCTTTTTTTTCAAAATAACCATTCAAGTGCAACAACAATTAACATCTCCATTAACTTAATTAATCGAAGAGAAATTGTTTCGTCATTTTCGAAAGTCATTGTAAACACTTTTTGCCTTTAAATTGGTTATTTATAATTTCCATTATTTCCCATTCATTTTGTCCATCTTTACGTGAACATTTGAAGTATACATTGGAGTTGGTTTGAATGATAAACAGAAGCAAAAAAGCTCTTCAATCCAGTTGGTAAAATCAATGGCTCTAATTTGATTGCTCTCAATGAACCACTTTTAAATCAATATCCGAAAGCGAAAGGTTTCGACAATTTTATTATACAATCGAAAGGTTAAACAAAAGGATCAAAATTGTTTGATCAGATGGTTAAAAGTGCAAAGTTAACCTCTTGTCTTTGATTTTCATTGGTAATACAAAGCGTCACAAGGCGAAACCATTTTCCACCAGTTAGGAAGTTAATTTGGATTCGTGGTGATTAACTGATTGGCAATATCATTTTGAACACGCAACCTTTCAATGTTATTCCAGCTAGTTAGAGATCAACCTCGAATTAAATGAGAAATGCTGACAATTGTGAGTCGAATCAATCAACATTTGACCTTAACAAGGTTATGCATACATTAATGGTAACAAATCAAGTTGAATTTGCCTTGATCAAGAAGTAAAAGGATTCTGACAATATTTTGATTTAAGTGTTTCAAATATTGCTAATACATCATGATTTGAACGTGGTTTAATCTGGAAATAAGTACAAGTCTTATCGAGTTGATTAATTGCCAAAACAATTTCTCGTCTGTACAACCAATTACGAGGGTTTAAGATGTATACAAGTTATTCAATTTGAACAGTTGGCTTTGTTTTTCCTTGCATTATTCAATGATGATAACTTGATTGGAATTTAATTAACAGGCAGAGGAAAAAAAAAGATAATGATGATGACATGATATTGATTAATGAGAATCACTGGGGTTGAAACATTGTAACAATTAACATTATGATGACTCGGTTGAAAATAATATGGATAGCCAATCAATGTTTTTTTGTTTCAATGGTTAACAAAATCAATACACAATTATTGATCATTATTACTGTTCTTTATTAATTATATTGTATATACTTGTTCTTTGCATGATATATTTATATATATTATTTACAATGGCAAATCAAGTTTCACGATTAAAGCTTTTTTAATCATTTGAGATAGTTAAGAGTGTTTAGAGATGACCAGAGAAGAGGCAAGAAAACAGTAAAATCAAATGATGAGGCAAAATGAATGATGAAAATTATGATAGATGATAGATGATAAAGCTTTTTTTGTTGGATGGTGAAATAGCCACACACAGGATGATGTTGTTGATGATCATGATCATCATCATGATAATCCTTGCAACGATAAAATGGTTAAAGTTAATATAAAAGAAGAAGATGGAAACAAAATAAATGGAGAACAAGATTGAATCTTGTTAACAATGGTTGAATGATTGATTCATTATCCGTTGAAGATCCATAAAGTCGATTCTTATTTGCAGCGGGTTCAGGTTTTTTATCCAGAATGGATGATGTTTTCATGATATCAGGTTTTCTCAGGTTAAGATCAATCCTTGGTGTCCAAATGTTGTCAATCCTTTGGTTTCGTACAATTGCAAAGTTAATGTAAAAAGATAAGCCCAGAGGGAAATCAATATTGTCCAGTGTAAAAAAGAGAGGAAGAGTAAAATGGATTCGAGTTAATGGACCATCACGACGAATTACCGGATTCCACATGATTGAACTTCGATTTGGAAGGGGTGAAGGTTCAGAGGATTGACCAGAAAAGATTGCCTCTCGACAGGATAAATTGTCACAAGTAACTAGATAATCGTCACCAAAACTATTGTCGGGCGAAAATTTCAACTGGATCGAAGTGAAATTAAGGTTAATCATGAGAAGCACATGAAGATATTGTTTTTGAGGCCATCGTTCAACCAAAATCCAAGTTCGTTCAAACGTTTTCCAATGATAACAAAATTTAGAGCCTTTCGGTCGATTACAATTATCTCTTAGATACTTCAATCGGTAAATGGGTAAGTTGTTGGTTGGCTGGGTTGACACGATTCCATTGGAACTCAGCTCAAACGATACATTGTACCAGTTAATTAAATCAATGCGCTCATTGGGACCATAGCGAGGCCAGCGTGAGGAGGAATCATCGATGGTCTGATATTGAGAATCATTTGTTCCCTCTTCACTGGATCCTTCCAATAACCAGTGGCAACTCAATACTTCATCGTCTATTGATCCACCGTTTTCATCTATTATCGGGTCACGATAAGGCATTCTGACTTTTCCTTTAACGGTTGAATTGGAGTAGAAACATTCGTAGCGAGTTCCTTGATCTCCATAACGGACTGTTAGAAACATTGAATGTTTAGCCTTTGGTTTGGAACCGAATCGGTATAAAGATAATTTCAAATCATCTGAAATATAACGAGACCGAGAAGCTTGGGTTACTTTGAAGATTGCAAAGACATTACAGGAATTGGTTGCCAAACAAGAGGAATCAACGTATTGATCATTGATAGCAATGCATGTAATGGAAGATCCTGAAGAGGAAGATGAAGAAGATGAACACTCATGGTGAAGATGTGAACGGAATGCTGATGAGGTTTGGCCTCTGTTGGTGTATAAAGTTAATAAATTCACTAAAATAATCAACAATATTGTATAATAGTAACCAGGAATCACCATTGTACATGATAAGTGTATCTCTCTTATTTTTGGGTTCAGTTAAACTTTTTGATTGCTGACTTTTTGACTAGTTTTAACAATGTTATCTTGATTACACTTTGGCATCCCTTTGACTGGAAACAATTTATAAATTGGCCAGCAATTTGATCAACGAATTAGTTCACTTATTAGATGAATTGTGGTAAAATGATTTGATTATCGTAAAAAGTTGATTTTGATGAAAGTTATTGAAAGAAGGTTCCATTTTTTGATTTTGGTTTCAAAATTGATTAACAAAAAAAATGGTGAAAACACGTAAATAAGAGATAACAATAAATTGAAAGTAAAATTTTCCAACTCTAAGTATTGAACTGAAATGAAATAAATCCTGGCTTTGGAATAATGATGACAATTGTTGATTCGGTTGAAATAAATAAAGGTTGGTTGAGGTTGGAAGGGAAAAAAGCGCCAAAAGATCGTTCAATGAAATGTATAAAGTTGGCAAGTCTATTCACTATCCAGTTTACTTGAACAATAAGAGGAAATACATTTTGATTGAAATTTTTGATACTCTGTAGTGAGCCACAAAACACAAAACGGCCACAAAATAGTTGATTGAAAGGGAGATGATCAAGTTGAAAATGAAATAAAAGTGTAAAAAGTTGAATTGATCCTGTCGAGAGTTAGTGAGATGATTGTGTTAGATGGCTCAGAACCATGCGTTATGGGATGTAAAAGCAACTGGCACAATCCTTGATGCAAACGAGTAACCAAAAGGAGGAAGATGATGATAATGATGATGCTGGATGAAAGAGAGAGAGAGAGAGAGAGAAAGAGAGAAAGATAAACATTACAGAAGAAGAAGAAAAGAGTCTAACACAGTTTAGGGAATAGAAGAGTGAGTAGCGACAGCTGATTGAAGTGAGCGGATCACTGGTTATTGTAGGAGAGTAAAGCTGATATGCCTAGCGAAACTTTGGACCTTACAAGCGACTTTTGGTTCCTACATTTTTGCCTTTAATGTGTTCACTTAAATCAAAATCAATGAATCTATTCATCCTCTTCTCATCATTATCATCACCCATCATCATTTTCATCAGCCAACAACAACAACAACATCAGCTTGTCTTCTCTGTGTGATATCGCATTGAGTATGAAAGTAAAGTCAACGCTACAACGTTTCTCTTTCTTCTTCTCTTCTTTGACCAAACATTATTTGATTGACCCTTGCCAATATTAATGATAACATTAACCAACTCAATCAACTATCTCAATCATCATTATTTTTATAAGCAACTAAATCCTTTCTCCATAAACATTGCTATACAGGCAACTCCTTAGGTTGATAGCGATAGGAACCTTCAACCTTTCACCGCTTTTGTTTGTCTTACCTAACCATCCACTCCATGTCTCATTAAGACCTTTGGCCCACTGGATTTTGTTTTATCCTTGTCTAGTTTCAATCTTAAATCATCAACTTCAAAGGCAACCTTAAAATATTCAACTCAGCAAGAAACTTGCCATCATCAGCTTAACCTTAAGTGCAGTTTACACCAATTTGTTGTTTCACCTCCAACACAGTAAACAAGAATTACCTGCAACATTTTTTCACTTTAACATTGCAAATTCCTGTCATGCATCTGAATTGGATTAAAGATGTTCAAGTGAAGATAATAATGTTACTTATTGTGTCATTATGATTGATGTTGATTAAAAATTAAATAAGTGAAAGATTATTAATATTTACTCGCCGGTCTTGTAAACCTTTAAACCAGAAAAATGTCAGCGCTAAGGTTGAAAACTGGTTGCCCAGTTCAAACTTTGCTGTTTCTCAGTTTCTCTGTGTTTACCATTATTATTAATCAAAGAGAAACTGGACAAATATTGATATATCCTCTTAATTAAACCAGTTAGCTGCCCATAGTCCAGTAATCAACATAATCACAAATCATCCAATTGTCATCATTGCATTTTCCCTTTCCTCTTCACTCCTTAGGCCTAACTTGAATCACTCATCCTTTTAAGATATAACCGTTTTTTTCAACCCAAATAGCCAGACATTTATTATTATTTATAACCATATTCACTTACAATGATTATTACTCTTGACCCTCTAAATGTATTTAACCAGTATAACAAAAAAAATGACCAATGGTCATTAAAAGTTTAGCTTTTCTGGTTTTCCCTATTGTTCATTCCTCGTCTTACCAACAACCGGCGTTTCAACAACAATTGAAATCTAATCCTTTTAAGGTTCGCTTCAATTGAATTAACCAATACTTTGATGGAGATTTATATTGATCAAAATTATCTGCAAATATGATCAACACAAGTATCAAAGCAATCACCATAAAAATAGCAACAATCAATGGTTATTTATTAATCTATTACAATTGAAGAGGAAAGATGAACCTGAAAGTTGAAAAGACTCAACATTTAACAATAACAGAGAAAAAACAGAAACATTGGTAAACCTTGCTAATTGTAATCGGATACTGATTAGTTGTGGGAATTGTTATTTGATACAAACAGTTAATTTTGATCCTGATTGAGTTTAAACTCTAAACCAACAATAAGCAAACAATCAACTGTGTTTTGTCAACAAGCATATCGCGTTTAAAATAGCACAGCATTTGCATCAGTTTTACCGGTTTTTTTCAATTCTCAACCAAATGTTCATTTCATTTCATGATTCAATTGTTTTATGATTAACTTAATTGTTGACGATCATTTTTCACTATTAATTCCAATTTGTAATAGCAATGAAGGACAAAAGTCAAGCCAGTTGAAAAGCAAATGCAAATGGAAGCTTCAATTGTAGTTTAATGACAATTAAATTAGTCTCTAATTCAAAGCTTGACTTTAATGTTAACCATAATTTCCAATGTTAAATATATTGTCACAATTAACTTTTCATTAGCCTTTCAATTGAAAAAGCATTAAAAACCCAAAACTGTTTAAAGTCATTGAAAATTGTATGAAACAAACAATATTAAACTGGTTGTTGGTTTGGGTTATTTGGGTAAAGGATTATTTATTCAACCAGTTTGATTGATTGACAATTTTTTATTAAACCATTTGCAAACCATTAATTAACTTAATTGAGATTTCATATTTCATCTGATTTATCCTTTAATTTGTTGATTTACTTAAACTTAATGTCAGGTTAACATTGTGTTCAGTTGTCAACAGTTAATCAATTTATCAGTGAAAATCTTGAATCTTTTACCTTAAAGTCGGTTCAGTTTCAAATTAAATAGTTTAATGACAATTTTGTAGCTGCAGGCAAAGTTAATTTAAATGTTAACCGTAAACATGACTAAAATTGTAGTGATACAAGAATCAAATTACATTCCGGAATTACCGAAAAAAGTGGCGAAAATTTTAGCAATTGGACTTGATGATTGGTTTCCTCGAGGATTTTGACCAGTTTTTGGTAAAATAGCGAGACAAAGGTCACTTTTAGCATCAAAAGATGTACAAATGGCTTCAGGAATCCTTGATGTAACCATTGTCAATACTTTTCGTCCCAATTCAACAACCTTTGGACCACATCGAGCATTGACAATCGAAAAGGTACAATCTTGAAAGCGATTGAAGGCACAACAACCAACTGGTAATCGATTTTGTTGATCAACCGAGACCACTTCTTCAACTGCCACTTGTAAATCTTTAAGGCATGAATTAGCTTCAATCCTAGCTTTAGCTAAACACTCAACATTAGCCATGTAATTGTTTCGAAGCTGACTGCCGCTTGTACAAAACTCTTTGACAGTATTGAGGCCTCCAGATGCGAAAAACTCAACCAACTCTTGTTGCAATGGAGTCGCACATTTGCTGGTGAAATTAGCTACACACTCGTGTGCTTCGTTCAACACCTCACAATAATGATTAATGGCTGCCTCTGTTTTTGGTGTTTCTGGAAGTACCAATATTTATGGATATTAGATGGTTTACAAATGAAGCATCATTAATTTGATGATGATTAGTTGAAACTCTTACCTTGATTTTGGAGAAGCATTGCAACTGAAGCTGAGCAAAAATCCAATTCCTTGAGGTGACATTTCGAGAAAACTAAACCAACTGAACTGGATAAGGCTAGAAAAGTGAAAAAAATTGAAAATGAATTCATGGTTAAAAACTGTCGATTGAATTTTGATGGTTGAACACTAACAATGAGCAATAAAGACTGTAAATCAATGAGCAACTCAAGTGATTTCTTGATTTATATAGTGAAAGACATTTGAAATTAAATGTGGAAAATTACATCAAATTAAATGACTTTGGGTAAATTGAAGAGCCAACGATCATGAAAGTTATACCTGAGTGTTATGACATTTACTTGAGATTTCATTCAATTTGTCAAAATTGTAAGATGATCTTTGACAAGCTAATTAAATCAGTTAAGACGTTCAATTAGTTGCAACAATTAAAGAAATAACAAACAGAGCAACTTAAAGAATCAATCAAATTGGATTGTCTAATATTGTATTATAGATTGTGAGTTTTCTAGTGTTGATTAAATGACAATTTGTTTTGGTTGAATCTTGTTTTTCAGGTTTATTCACCAATTTGCCTATCAATCAATGAATTTTGGGTAAACAGGAAATTTGTGCCTGACTTGATCAACTGATTATGATTAATTTAATTGATTAACCGAGTAAATGAATAAATTATAAGCCAAATGTATTACAATTGATCAACAAAGTCAACCTTAACCTAAATATTGAGATTCTGGTTAAACCTGGTAATAAAATGTGCTCATATGATACATTGAATTAACCTAACAATAAAGTATGAATTGTTTTTTGGCTAGCAATTGACAATTTAAAAGGTAAATTAAGATTTATTTGTTTTCATTATGGCCAACAATTAGAGAAATAATTTATTTTTTAATATGTTGTTTTGATGATCGTTTAATTGTCATTAGGGATTTATCATTGTAATGGTTATAGACATTTAGTTACCTTGATTGTTAGATTTGGTCTGAAATTTTCCACAATTTATTTGTAATTATAATGATGAGCATTACATGAAACTGTTCATTCAATTGCTGTAATGACCAACATTTGCAATTTGTCATAAAAATGGTTAATAAACTGTTCAATTTTGCTACAATAATTAGACTTGATCAAGTTTAATGTTAATTCATGTGCAAAGGATGATCATTTAATGAAATGATTAAAGCCTTTTTTGGTTAAACCTAAACCATAAACCTATTGAAAATTGAAACAGTTAAATTTTGTAAAGCTTACTGTCAACTAAATGGGTTGCAATAGCAATAAATGAAGGTAAATTAATGCATTTCAATATCAACAATTAACCTTTAATACATTAACCAATAATAGTAACTAAAAAAGAGATCATTTTAAGTTTATTTAAACCAGAAAATGTTAACAAAACTGGTTTTTTATATTTGTTTTATGCTTTTGTCAAGCCTATTGTAATAAATTCATCGTTCAACGGCTATGCCTTTTACGGCTATCTTTTGGCTTGATTCTGGTTTTTATTTTTTTTGTGTCATTATTTAATTCAACCTTTTATTCAGTTATTATCCTCATGACCAGGGAATCCAATTAAAGTCTAGATAATTGATTTCAACAATTGATTTGCCATTATAAATAGTCTACTTTCAGTGTAAACAAAAATGGCTGTTAACGCTGTTTTTGTGTGCCTTGGCTGTTTGTAAAGGCAAGAGTTACAAAAAAACATATGGTGCTAGCTAAATATTAGCTCATCAAAGGATTAACTTTATTTGTTCTTTTCATGCTTTTATCCTGTGTTTCATCTGATTCAATGTTCAACCAGATAATTCCCTGTTGTACATGATAATTGATCTTTTGGTATTAACATGGAATCCTGATTAATAAATCAGCTATAATTTGGATGGACCAGAAACCATGGTTTTAATTACCAATGCTGCTTTGTAACGCCTTCAGTCATGTATATTTTCATGACATTTACAGTAAGAATTTCCAATTTTTCTCCCATTTTTCAACCCTCCCTAATCAAGGATGAGTTGAATCTAATTTAAATTTCATCAAATTTCATCTCAATTTCTTTGATATTAAACTGTAGCTTACCCAGGGAAGCAATTCTCAGAGAGTGACGACTTTGGAACCCAGCCTGTATTACTTTCTAATATAATGGTGAGTCTATTCAATTGTAACAAATTATCCAATTCCTATCTATGAAATCCCTTTTCAACCAATAATATTAAATTGAATTAGGAATTATGTTTCAATTGAGTGTTACATACCGTTCATAAATACATGGATTTGTTTTAATATTTCTCACTCGTTTTTTTCTCTTCTCTTTTCAGTTCCAATATTGATTATCGATTCAAGCTTTACGTCATTTACTGTTATCATATTAATAAATCATCACTTTGTTGATTCGAAGTAATCATCAACAACAACCTGATCATAATCAGTTTGACATTCAACTCCAGGTTAACTCAAAAGTCTTCCGGATTTCAATCATAACAATTTAACCAATAACCAAATAGTCAACAGAATGATGGATCAATTTAACCCAAGCAATACAAGTAAACTTGAAGCAAGCAAACCAACCTCAAGCCAAAGCCACTTTGATGTTGCAAAGTCAAAACTTACTATTTAATAGGAATTAGCGTTTTTGTCAGACAAAAGTGTAGGTGGATTAAATGGCTGGTTAACTTAATCACCATTTAAACAGTTAATCAGTTAAATATTTTTCTTTAAAAAATGATCCTTTTATACTCATAACTACCCAAGAATCATCATCATTCACAATAAACCATTTTTTAACCTTTTTTCAAGTGTACAAAAGACTTGCACCTTAAAAAAAGGTTAAATTCAGCTTAATCATCATTAATATTATCATTATTATTAAATTAATAGTTTCTGTTTACATTTTCAATCATTAATGATTAATTCTTGATTGATTTTTGGTTTAAATGAGATTAGCTAATTGATTAAATTGTACCTTAAAGCCTCTTCTCTGGCCTTCCTGGAGTCCATCAGTTAACCAGATATTGTTGGGTTATTGAATGATTATCAAATTTTAATCAACCATTCTCATGATTTGATTTGATCAATTCACAATTTTTCAACTTTAATTTCATTGAGGAGAGATTAGACCAAAAGCAAGCCATTGAATAGCCATTTGGAGCTAAATTTACTTGAAATTAATTCCATTGCTTGAAAAGATTAATGACAATTTAAAATGATAAATGAATCGCATCATGTATTTTGGTTTTGTTTTCACTATAATCAACAACTTGTTAATCAGTGATTATTGAAATCGCGTGGGAACCTAATTATGCAATTATATTGGGTTGATTTGTTCAAATGTATAATAATATTCTGTGTTAATTATTCAGCTTTTCAATTTCATTAAATGATTAACTTTCAAGATAATTTTTCAACTAACCTACACGTTGATCAAAATTAAAAGCTTAAAAGATGAACATCGTTATTGTGATAGAAGCCGATTTTGATCGTTATGAGCCTTAATAGAAGTTATTAAATTGAATATCATCAAACACAATCCATAATAATCATCATAAGTATGATTACTGAACTAGAATCTGGTTCATTCGCAGGTTAAACTTGAACAAGATGAAATAGCTGTTAGCCTAAATTGTAAACACATGCAAATGGAGAAAGTTGATGGTTAACATCAATTTAAGATGATATTTATCATCATTTTATCATTGAAAAGGTTAAATTATCTCAAGATATGTTTAACTCTTGCTAACAAATTTTTGATCGCCATTTCAAATAAAATAGCGACTATCATGATCATTATAATCATGATGGTTATTTATGTGAATTTTGCTTCCATTTGCTTTTCGCAATCCTTTGTGTTCACCCAAAAATTGTGGATAAGATGAGAGCAATCAAAAACTACTGAACCGAGGGATAATTGTTTAATCAATTTACAACTAATTAGTGGCAAATGGTAGTATTAAATTAGTCAATTTTGTTGGAAAATTGATCAATCAAGGTTTTGCTTGGATTCTTCCTTAACACTTTCACTTTCACTGGCAACTTTAATAGTTATCTTGATATAAGATGATAAAACTCACTGTTTCCAAGGTTATTTTTAGGGTGGAAATTAAATGATGATTACATTCGTTATGATCCCTGTATGATAGTCACAATTAAAATTAACAGTTTTCGCCCAACGCCCAACAAATTAACTGCAATCCTATTATTTAAGCGTTATGACGATATTCATATGATTGGTAAAATCAATAAGCTACTACCATCTTCTGGGTAAATCAATAAGCTTCGCTCAGATTTGCTCGTTAAATAGAGATTTATATTCATAAATTAATATTTAAGTTAATGATTATTAACACTGAATCTGGTCGATTTACTTACAATTTCGTGAAACATTTTTATTTTTCTTTCACCATTTGGTGTGTGATCTGGATTTTAGGTATAAATAACCATTCAGATTATTTAGCTTCAGCTTACAGATAACATGACCAGGTTACTAACAAGTATTGTGAGAATGTATTTCTGTGTTAACTTCTTGAGGAGAAAAGGCTGTCAAAAGTTCTGTTACTGATGAAAAGGATGAATTGGCTTGTTATGCTAATCTACAGGGACTGCTCTTTGATATTCAATTTCCAAGTGTCTATCAAGGCTTACAAAGTCTTTGTTAGTAACGAAAAACTGGGTTATAATGTTACTTTACCATTTCATTGTAATAAAGTTTCGTGTAAGTTATTCATGATCAAAATGAATGAAATTGGCATAATTTAAATGACTCTGTAATATATGCATGTAGCCCAATTAATCTTAGGAGTTGGAAAATAGTTGACTCCAGGACTAGCTACCATGATATAATGTAAAGTCACCACATTCTTGAAAGTGACATTTTTTGATAGAAAGAAGTTACTAGGGAAGTGCCTTTGCTGGTACGATCATTTTCAATTTTTTCGGGCTAATATTGTAGAAGGCAAAAAATAATTAGACACGTATTTTTGCTTTTGTTTCGCTAGTGCGCGGTTAATGATATTCAGGCACTTTTTATTAAACATAGTAGTGCACTGCAGCCCCTGGAAGTACATAAAACAGATGAAAAGCAGAAAATGAAAATCTCTTAATGAAAATCGTAAATCATTTTGCAGTAACTCCAATAGATTACAATGCAATATCCCCGCTTAAGTTTCTTCAGTTTTGTGGCCTTTAAATGCATGTTCCATAGAGATGAGTGAACCTGAAACATCAAGATTCAGCTTCATTTACTTTTCAGCTTGAAAGCATTGAAGAAAGTTATACTTATTAACAGTGAAACTCCTGTCAACGACAATAGACCCATGATTATTGTCCAACAGTAGTGTACAAAAGTCCTTCTCTGGGCCAACTTGTCCACTCTAGGCCAAAAGCCTACATAGCTTTTTTTACCTTTGGTTAAAAATTTCGTCTGGCTTTTTTTGATATTTTTGAAATAATTTCATGACTTTTTAGCGAATGAATTAAATCTTTATTTTTAACAATAGGAATTGAATTTTGAATGAAAAGGTAATGAAATCAATTTACTAATAATAATTATTGGTTATCTTGTCTTTTTTCCATTGCTTCCAAATATTGCTTAATAAAAGCTTCTTGGGGGAACCCAACTAAGGTTTCCATTCGCTTATTTACGTACTCTAGGTACGCATCTAAATTATTTTTTTCTTCTTCAATTTCTCTTTTTTTCTTAATGACTTCTGTCAATTTAGACGATAATTGTCTATTTTCTGTGGATAAAATCTCGACCTCTTCGATCCGGTCCTCTAGCTCGTCACCTAAATTCATTACTTCTTTTTGACTTTGGTTAAGCCAGAGCTTTAGTCGGTGTATCCGTTCCTTCAGATCTGCGATTTCGGCTTTTTTTCATTTAAGTTGACATATTGTAGAGTGTTGTTAATTATCCGCTCAACACCAGGTGGAACTTCACCAGTCCTTCGTTCAATCCAGCCCAATAACCGTCTTAAGCCTTGCGTCAAATATATGTAGCTTATTATAGCATATGAGCTTTAACTAGCGTATGGCCCAGAGTGGACAAGTTTGGCCCAGAGTGGACAAGTTTGGCCCAGAGTGGACAAGTTGGCCCAGAGTGGACAAGTTGGCCCAGAGTGGACAAGTTGGCCCAGAGAAGGACTTTTGTACACTACTTTAAACGTTTATCTAAATACTGGCGAGCAGTTGTCCTTAGGCCACGCCGCGATAGACAGTCAGAAGATAGGTCCGACTCTGTAAGTTGTAAACACAATGTTGCTATTTTTTTATTTTCATTTCGTATCTTTCTTTCTCTCTATTTATTTATTTTTATTTTCTTAATCTTTAGTCTAAACTTCTTATGTGCTCAACGATACTCCGATGTCCGAGTTCAGTACGAAAAGCAAGATATGTTTAGAAGTGTTGACTATTACAATATAAAGTTTCCACACGGAGATTTTAGGGAGAAACTCTGTTGTTTCGGTTCAAATAGTAAGACTTTTGATTCAAACGAAAGACAAGGATAAATTTATCATCATTGAAATATAACACATTCGAGCGTTTTGCAGGAAACAGATTATGTCGTTCTACCTGCGCTTTCAATCTCTTTTCTCCAAAAAATAATGTAGAATTGGAAAAAAAATTCGAAAATTCAAGACGAGCTAAATTGTTACGGGATTCCCATTGAAATTGCAGAGTTTATTGGAAATGATCGAAAAAATCAATATAAAGTCTTAGCGAAGAAAAGTGGAAAACTTATGTGTATTTGTAAGTTTAATAATGATTTCACCATTAATCCAGATGAATTCACGGTTGCACCAATTATGTAAACCACTGTACTATCAGAGACCAGAGACTATGAACAACCAGAACCAGAAATAAAGTCAGAGCCTCCTAAAAAGACGGTATTCAATTTGCATAGCAAAAGATAACTTTGTAATTTTCACTCTGCAATTCAGTTACACGTTTCGACCATGCAAATCACTTGATTGTATATTCACAGTAAAATGAAACTTAACAAGAGACAATGAAAATGATGGAAAGTCAGCAAAATATCACAAGATTAAACTCAAGCCATAATTTCAAAAATCAACTGATCAAAGGCAACTCTTATCACCTAAAGCAAGAAACACTGATTGCTCCAAACTTATATTAATGTTTAGTAAATGAATATTAAATGCTCTGATACTTTCAGTTAATGTAGATTAATGTCTGAAGTATTCAGCTTTCGTAAATATTTTTGCAAAATTTCTGTTACTGAAAGTTCCCATGTCTATATGTCTTTCTCATTCATTTGTTCAACCAATTCTTTACGTTTTTGATAAAGTGTAACATTTTCATTGATATTATTAATAGTTGAGATGTTTCTTGTGACAGCAACTAAGGTAGATTGCTGTCATCAATCATCTAATTTCCTATTTCGTGAGCATCTCCAATTATCTGCCATATTAATATATACGCTTGATTGATCAAATTGGCTATAAATCCTTTCATTTTCAACATAATCTTAAATGTGAGTAATCATTTAAGCCAAGTAGATTAAATGAATATAAAAGCATCAATATTTTTGTTTTTAGATGCATTGCCATTAACCAAGTCTTTCAATGACTTCTCAATAGATACCAGACTGGGCTACTGAGTCAATCACTTTTATCAAATGTAATCATCTGAGACATCTGAGATATTTAACCCTCGATATTTCCCAAAATGTAATATTGGCCCAAATTTGTGTTACTAAATGATAAAACATCAAGTACTGGTTGTACTTGAAGACAGCTCATGTTGCAAGTACAACAACTAATGTGTGCCAAAATTTCTGGTAACATATTAATATTTCACCAATCAAATCTCATTTTAAATCTGGTAAATCAAATGTTTCAAATGTAATTGATATAATTTGCTAAGTAGAAGAAAAAAATATCAAATTATTTCCCAAAAAAATGTAGACTGATTGTTGAGAAAAAGGTTCATTACTAATTATTTTGAGTCACGTCAGTATTGAATTTTGAAACAAGAAGAAAATTAAATTACCTAAAAACTGGTGTAATATTGTATTAATCATTATATTATTAATGATATTAAAACATAAATACTGGTTCAATGAAATGGGTTCAGATGTCATTACAAGTGAATGGTAATGAGACCAGAATCCAGTAAAACATTGTGAAAATGGTTTCACTATTCAACACTTAATCTTGCCCTTTCATCGTATTCAATGTTTGAATCTGTGATTCAATTCAGTTTATATTTACCAGGAAAACTTGTCAACATTTCAAGATGATATCTAGATTTATCTGGATGGTCAATGAATCGATTTAGTCACCAACATTCAATTTGTTTCAACTGTATTGATTGAGTGTCACAAGTTACATCTGGATAACAATGGATAGAGACAAAAATTATACACTTTTCATCTGTTCAATGCTTCGATTTTTGACAATTGAACAAAATGAATTGAATTTTAAGGCCATCAATCAGACGAGCAATTGTGATTCCTTTGCATTTCTTGTTTTCACTCTTCTTCTCATTCTGTTTATCAACTTGATTTATCTTTGCCTGAGAATTGCTTTAATTGAATCTCAATTTCTTCATTATGTGGAACTGATTCGAACCCTTCTCTGTATTATTCAACTGATTATAATTTGTCGCCAAAGATTCCACTGGATCAACCTTTTAATGTTTCTTAAAAATCACAATTTACCAACAAACCATTCAAACCTAATTTACTTGACTTACCTACTAATCACACTGATTGTCATCGCCATCGACTGTGCTTCTTGGTTTGTTGATCAATCGGACAATTACATTAGCATTGATGATTGCTTTGACTTTTTCTTCATTCCCCTGAAGAGTCATTCACTCGATTTACCATATTATCTGAAATTAATTCTGGTTATCTTTGCCATCATTTTTTATAGCTTAATTATTCACGGAACTCAGCTGATTATGATTATTTATACAATTTGTGTCACTAATCTAACACTCAATGTTATCTCCAATTTTTCCACTTACATGCAATCAAATCTGGTTGATGGTGGCTTTCAAATTAACGGTCGATTAAGGGAAAAACTGTTTCGCATTCGACTGATTGTTAAAAAGATTGACCAGTTGAGACGACAATTTGATGATTCACTAAACTGGCTTCCATTTGTCTGGATTTTGGGTCATCTTTTTGAATCATTTGCTTGTCTCATTGAATATTTGCATTCATCTTCATTCACCGAGTCAACTCATGTAATCCATTTGACGGTTTTCCTTCGCAAATGGTCACTATTTAGCTTAACCAGTTTCATTTCAATCATTTTATCGCTAATGGCCAGTCAGGTTAAACACAATTGTCTCTCTATTGAGGAGAAAATTTTTCAAGATTCAAGTGAAATCATTGACTTGCAATCAACTGCAAAATCAAATGTTAATCTAGATGAAATTTTATTCAAAATGGAGATAACAAGGTGGAAACAAATGATTTCTGAACCACAATCAACTCGTGGAATCAATCTGATGAACCAATCATTTATACCTTTAATTGTAAATACATTGCTTCCAATGGTTTTTATACTCTCATATAAAAAGCAACTGCTAATGTAAAAATGTCCTTTAACCAAATTAAATTGTACTTTTTAGCTGGCAACTAAATCAAGCAATTGCTATCATGATCCAAGTCAATTATATAAGTAAAGGTGATTAAATCAACTAAACCTCTTGTCTCATTATCCATAGCTTTTTTCAACCTTGGCCTTTTGTTGTTTACAAGTGTATTAATGTCCACTTTAAATACCTTTTTACTGGGTTAATTGCCTATTCAATGTTAATTAACTGATCTACATTTTTATTACTAGACTCTTGATTCACTCAGCCATCTCTAATGCCTATCTAATTGGGTAAATTTTCCTGATTTGACTGTGCAATGGCTTTATTTGATTTTTCCGCTCTTTGCTCTATTGGCTCAACATCTTTGAAAAGTCAGTATTTTTCAGTACGATGTTGATGTGTTTGTCAACTATCATCTCTTATAAATTGTTTGTTATTAGCTGTTAATTTGAGTCATGTGAAAGTCAAATCTAAACTAATTACGATCAAATACCATTTATTTGGATTGGTAATTGTCTAATTGGGAAAAGTATTTCTAAGTGCATCTGTAATCTGGTTGTTTTGTTTTCAAGTCAAGTCTTTGTTACCTTTGATTCACTGATGAGTTTGAAATCAGCAAAAATTTACATGGAATTGTGTAATCAACTTGTTAATCAAGCAAGTTTATTAAAAGATATTGATTGCTGGAGAGTATTTTTGTTACAGTCAATCATGTGATGGCTATAGTAGTACATGAATGCTCAGAGTGAACATCAAGTCATCGTACAAGATTTATTACTCAATTCACCCTGCCTCCAATAGTTATTTAGTCTTCTACTTCATTTAATCAAATTCCACCGTTGACTTCAATATCATGTAATTAATTTTTTTCAACTTGAGATTCAGCTCGATTCAACCAGGTTCTTGAGGTTTCTTCAATGGTTGTTCAAGCCTAGAAGTGATTTTATTTCAATAGAGTTTGTCTTTGTCTTTGTCTTTCTCAAATGATGGTGATAATTGAAACAACTCAATGATCATTCACCTACCTCCTGATTCACTCATAATTATAAATTGTATTCTTGATATCATGATAATCAAACGGGGAAAGTTTATGATCCATTATTATCCATTACATTTACATTATGTATCATAATATCGACTAAACTACAAAAAAATACCTCAATTATTATGGAAGCACAATCACTCTTGAAATTTAATGGCAAATTTCATTTGTTACAATGTTTGAAAAGATCAGCTAAATATTATAAGTTCATCTCACAGCAATCAACTGACTTGTAACAAATGTAAACATGTACTTGATGAGCACTAACGTTTGCACGAGGAGACATTAACAAAGATCAATTAACACTTTACACTTTGGTCTAGTTCATAGTATAACTTCAAGGAATTTTAATTAGCCACTAAATTTTAAAATACGAAAACACATTTCAAATTAAAAATTGTTAACTGATTTTATTTATGCGGACTTGGCTTTTGTTTTTTTTGCTAAATCTTTGGGATTAACAACTGTTTATCTTTAATACACTAGAAGGCGCCATATTTCTTGTCCACTTTATTTTATCACTAGATGGCGTATAAAAGATGGGCTTGAAATTGACATGAGTCGAACAGTTACTCTTAAGAGTTCATCCTAAATCGAAAATAACTGTTCTTTCAAGCAATTTGTTCATCAATCTCAAACTACTTAAATTTAAAATTTATTTTGATTCATTAATTAATATTATTAAACTGTATTAAAGAGGAAATGGTTCAACATCATAGTCTTTTTGACCCAAAGGATGAAAGAGAAGCTTGTGGTGTTGGATTTATTGTTAATATTCATGGTGAACCATCTCATAAGCTTCTTCTCGATGCCCAAACCATCAGTAAACGTATGGAGCATCGCGGTGCATGCTCCTGCGATAATCTCACCGGTGATGGTGCTGGATGCTTAGCATCAATACCTCATGGGCTGTATGCTCGAGTTTTAAAAGAAGAACATGGCATTGAACTTCCACCTCTTGGTAAATATTACACTGGTCTCATCTTTATCGGTGCATCTTCTAGTCCTCAGAGTGAACAAAGATTTAACGAATTGGCTGAAAGCCTTGGATTTAAGGTTATTTGCTGCAGAGATGTGCCAACAGATAATAGCTGCTTAGGTGAAGTAGCTAAAAAGTCAGAACCTCTGGTCAAACAGGTATTCCTAATTTCTACCAAATCAGATTCTGGGGATGATGATGAAGCAACTGATAGAAGGATTTATCTTCTCCTCAAATGGTCTGGTCGTGTATTAATAGAGGAAGGTTTGGACTTCTACATTTGCTCACTTTCTCGTCGCACAATCGTCTATAAAGGACAGTTCACACCACCCCAATTATGGAAATATTACAAAGATCTTTCAGATCCTCAATTCATGTCTTACCTTTGCTTGGTTCATGCTCGTTTTTCAACCAATACTTACCCCAATTGGGCTCGAGCTCATCCTTTAAGGCTATTGGCGCACAATGGTGAGATTAATACCCTTCGAGGAAATGTAAATTTAATGCGAGCCCGAGAAGGTGTGATGAGAAACGCTCAATATGGTAAGGATCTAAATAAACTTTATCCTGTTGTGGAACCTGGTGTTTCTGATTCTGGGTCCTTTGACAATGTTCTCCAGTTTCTGGTTATGGCTGGTAATAGAAGTCTACCCGAAGCGATCATGACAATGGCTCCTGAAGCCTGGCAAAATGATGATCTCATGAATATGGATAAGAAAACATTTTATCGTTGGTCAGCATGTACACTGGAGCCATGGGATGGACCAGCTTTGTTAACCTTCACTGATGGGCGTTACATTGGAGCGATTCTTGATCGTAATGGTCTTCGACCATCCCGTTATTATGTCACCAATGATGGATTTGTCATAATGGCTTCAGAAGTTGGTGTTCTTGATATTCCCCCGGAGAGAATTGCTGCCAAGGTTAGTATATATTGTTTTATCACTTGAATCATTAGCCCATTACTAAAATCACTTGAGTCAGATTCTTACTGTAGTCATCATCTAGATAGCAAAATTTCAATTGGAAATTTTGTAATTCAATATTTTAAGAAAGGAAAGTACACTAAATCGCCTCTTTAATTAAAGCAGTTTGAAAATCTCCCATGTGAAATATTATTACGTCTTAGATTTTCAAATGTTTATAAGATGGCTTAGTATTGAAATTATCAATAAAAAAACTATTTTACATGCAGTAGGTTGATGACAGTTAAATGAATGGAATTGATAGTTCACTCAACTTCTGTAATCATTTATATCAGTCTAATCTCGGCTATCTCACAATTCTATCTTTGGTTATCTTTGATTATCTAATATATTTCAAGGACTTGTCTATGTGATAGAGAAAAATGTGTGTAAAGTGAGTTAACTATAAAAACAAAGCATTGTTTTACTCTTCATCATCACTGAACCTAATTATGCATCAAGTCAAACAATGACAATGACAATAGCAATTTTCTAAATCAGTTAAAGGTATCAACAATTTATTTTCGAGCAACAAATGTCAAATTAATTCAAGTCAAGAATTAAATTGCCTACCTGATAATACCTAAATTATAACCAAACCAACAATCAAATTGCTCATAATTTATTTAACTGTTAGTTGATTTAAGTAGGTTGTGAGAAATGAAGATGATTTTGACTTTCTGTTTTATAACCTCTGACATTTATTTTCATGCTTCCTCTATCGATTGGCTGTCGACATTAAAAACGATTTTTCCCTTATGACCTTCTATCTATAAACATAACAACAGACTAACTTGAAGTTACTATAAGTCAGATGTTCTTTAGTTGTATTTTATTATTTTTTTATGTTGTTGACATAAAAATTTGAAAAATTGATGTGATTAGATGAAGTTGAAAAATTAGTAACATGTAAAATGATATTGTTCATGACATTTGAATCTTGCCCTTCTTTCAATCTTTAATAAGACTTTGTCACACACTTTAAAAAATTTTTATCAGTAGTTTCTGATCAAAGAAACGCATTTAAAATCTAATTAAATACACTGATTTTGCGTGTTTTGATTTTTCCCTTGAATCGTCTTGTGCTCAAATTTTATCAGTTAAGACTTATTTTGAAGTTACTGTATAGATTAATGATTACGGAGAGACTGAAAATAAAAGTATCATCTTTCTGTTTGTTTTTTTTTCTCTATAATTAATTTCCGAAGCCAAAATCTATCCTTTCGAACACTTAATGATTGAAAGATTATTTGTTCCCCTGTCTAGGTTGAATAACCACCACCATAACCATACTTATTGCTTTATGACTTAATGGTTTTATTACTTATTGTTTCAATTTCTATTAATAACTAACTCAAGTGGTTGGTCTTCCAGTAATAACGATTAATTCATGATCATTTATATTTTTACTTTACAGAGTCGTCTACGACCTGGTAGGATGCTTCTAGTTGATACTCACGATAAAATTCTAGTCAAAGATGAAGAAATCAAACTGAGCATTGCCAATGCACGACCTCTCTCTAACTGGCTTCAAGAAATGTTTACATTGCAAGATTTAAGGAAAGCAGCAATGTCGGAAAATCAAGGACCTGATGCAACTATCAGGCGTCGAGCTGTTTTCTTGGATGGCTTAGCTCGTGGCGATTCACTTGTTGGCAGAGCTCAAGTACTTCAAGATAGACGTTTAGCTCTCTTTGGATACACAACTGAAACTCTTAACTTACTAGTACTACCAATGGTTAAAACTCAAAAGGAAGCACTTGGTTCCATGGGAAACGATGCTCCATTAGCTTGTCTTTCATTATGTCAGCCTTTGTTGTATGACTATTTCAAACAACTTTTCGCCCAAGTCACTAATCCTCCTATTGACCCATTCCGTGAAAAGGTTGTCATGTCCTTGGCGTGTCCAGTTGGACCAGAGTCTAACCTACTTGAACCCAGTGCTGTCCAGTGCCGTAGACTGTGGCTTGAACAACCTATTCTTTCTATTCATGATATGGAAATTATCAAAGAAACTACTTACAAAGGTTGGCATTGTAAGACAATTGACTGCATCTATCCTGTTTCTGAGGGTAAATCAGGTCTTCTGAAAGCAATAAACTCTATATGCGATGAAGCATGTCTTGCTGCTAGAAATGGCTATGCGATTATCGTACTATCTGATCGTCGTGCTGATGCCGATTTTGTACCTGTTAGTACGCTACTTTGCTTAGGTGCTGTTCATCATCATTTGATTAATGAGAGACAGCGAATGAAGGTCGGTTTGTTCCTTGAAACTGGCGAGGCTCGGGAAGTTCATCATATGACTGTCTTATTGGGTTACGGTGCTGACGCTATCTGTCCTTATCTTGTTTTTGAGACAATGGCCACTCTTCGAGAAGAGAGGCTATTATCCTTGTCTGATTCTCAAATCTTTGAAAACTATGTTGCCGCCATGGAACGTGGTATTGCCAAAGTGATGGCAAAAATGGGCATTTCTACATTACAAAGTTATAAAGGAGCACAAATCTTTGAAGCTCTAGGTATAGCTGAAGAAGTAATAGATAAATGTTTCAAGAATACACCGTCAAGAATTGGTGGAGTTAATTTTGACGTACTTGCCGAGGAGGCGATGGAACGTCATAATATTGCATTCTCACCATCATACACTGCAGATTCATTGATTCTCAGGAATCCTGGTTTTTACCATTGGCGAAGTGGAGGTGAGAAACATATTAACGATCCTCTGGCTATTGCGAATCTCCAAGATGCAGCACGAGCAAATTCAAGACAAGCCTATAAGACTTTTGTTCAATGGACACAAGAAGCAGTTCGAGGCTGTACCCTTCGAGGTCAATTATCACTTGTTTACACTGATAAATCTATTCCCTTGGATGAAGTTGAACCTGCCAGTGAGATTGTCAAACGCTTTTGCACTGGTGCTATGAGCTTTGGATCTATTTCGCTTGAAGCTCATCAAACTTTGGCTATTGCCATGAACCGTGTGGGAGGTAAATCAAACACAGGTGAAGGAGGAGAAGATGCTGACCGTTGGATAATCAAAGATCTCAATAATAATCGACGAAGTGCAATTAAACAAGTTGCTTCTGGTCGATTTGGTGTTACTGCTGCTTATCTGGCTGCAGCTGATGAGCTCCAAATCAAAATGGCTCAAGGAGCTAAACCAGGAGAAGGAGGAGAACTTCCAGGTCACAAAGTGTCCAAAGAAATTGCAGCCACTCGTCATTCAGTTCCAGGGGTTGGTTTAATCAGTCCTCCTCCACATCATGATATTTATTCAATTGAAGACTTGGCCGAGCTTATTTATGATCTTAAATGCTCCAATCCTGATGCTCGAATCTCTGTTAAACTTGTCTCTGAGACGGGAGTTGGAATCGTTGCTGCCGGTGTGGCGAAAGGAAAAGCAGAGCATATTACAATCTCAGGGCATGATGGAGGAACTGGTGCCAGCTCATGGACTGGAATCAAAGGCGCCGGTCTTCCTTGGGAACTTGGAATCTCGGAAACTCATCAAGTTCTTGTTGCTAATGATTTACGATCTCGTGTTGTTTTACAAGCTGATGGTCAAATAAGAACAGCTTTTGATGTTCTTGTTGGGGGCTTGTTGGGAGCCGATGAATTTGGCTTCTCAACAGCTCCTCTTATTGTTCTTGGCTGTACAATGATGCGAAAATGTCATTTAAATACTTGTCCAGTCGGTGTTGCTACCCAAGATCCTGTGTTGAGGAAAAAATTTGAAGGAAAACCTGAACATTTAGTCAACTATTTATTCTTACTTGCAGAAGAAATACGAGAAGAAATGGCTAAACTAGGTGTTCGAAAGTTTAGTGATCTTATTGGTAGAACAGAATTGTTACGATTTACTCCTGACCCTAAAAATCCTAAAGCCCAATTGCTCGATTTTAGAACAATCCTTTGTAATGCTCTTGATCTACGGGCGGGCACCAATATTCGGGGCGGTAGTTTGAAACAAGATTTCGAGCTTGAAAAACGTTTAGATAATTATCTCATTGAAAATTGTAAATCTATTCTAGATGGTTCATCAACAGAGCCTCGAAAATTTAATATACCAATTGCCAATCAAGACCGATCCTTTGGATCAACGTTGAGTTATCATATAGCAAGAAGATTTGGTGAAGCAGGATTAGGAAAACAAATGATTTATGTGAAAATCAATGGATCGGCAGGTCAAAGTTTCGGTGCTTTCTTAGCTCGTGGGGTTACCCTTGAACTTGAGGGTGATGCCAATGATTATGTTGGTAAAGGTTTATCTGGTGGCGAGATAATTGTGCGACCAACTGAAAAATTACCTGAAACCTTTAAATCCGAGGAAAATATTCTAGTCGGTAATGTTTGTCTTTACGGTGCAACCAGTGGTAAAGCTTTTTTCCGTGGTATAGCTGCTGAAAGATTTTGTGTTCGTAATTCGGGTGCAATTGCTGTGGTTGAAGGTGTTGGTGATCATGGATGTGAGTACATGACTGGAGGTCAGGTTATTATTTTAGGTGGTGTGGGTCGCAATTTTGCTGCCGGAATGTCCGGTGGAATTGCTTATGTATACGATGTTGACGCCAAACTTGAAGGTAAATGTAATATGGAAATGGTTGATCTGTTCCAGTTGGAAGATAAAGAGGATGTCGATTTTGTATACAACCTATTAACCGAGTTCGTCCAGAAAACCAATTCAGCTATTGCACAGCGTATTTTGGATTCTTGGACATCAGAAAAAAACAATTTTATCAAAGTTTTCCCGAAAGAGTATCAACGAGCTTTGGAGAATCTTAAGAAAGAGGAAAGTGAGAAAATTAAAATTGAAGAGAAGCCAAAGGAAGAGAAAAAGATTGATGATATTGAAGATTCTATCGTTGATAATGGTAAATTGGACAAATTAAGGTTTGTTTCACTTGACAATTTTTTTCTATTTAACCTTTTTTAACATTTATTTCGAGAATTTAATTTAAAATACAGTGAAAAACGGCTTTATTTTACTGTTATCCTTTTATCGATCCCCAAGTAGTTAATAGCTGTCTGTCTATGAGAATTGAGATAATCGATTATCAAGTTACTTTTTCTCATAACTTTTCTCATTTTATATTTTCAGAGGTTTCATGAAATACAAAAGACTGCGAGGTTATTATCGTGAAACAAGTAAACGATCAAAAGATTGGAATGAAGTATTTGACTTTAATTATATAAGAGAAAATGTTCAAACCCAGGCTTCACGGTAAGTTATTTTTCCTTCTATCTGTTACTCATTATGTTGTAGACAAGAAAATCAATATCATGAGACTTAAAGTCCATATGTCTTGTTTTTCTTTCATTGTTTCTGTAAGTTGTTATTAATATTAATGAGTGTTTAAATATAACTCTTTAATTTCCATTTAGATGCATGGAGTGTGGTGTACCCTTTTGTCAATCATCTCAGGGATGTCCTCTTGGAAATATAATACCTAAATGGAATGATTTAGTCTACCAGAATGATTGGCAAGAAGCAATTAATCAGCTTCTACAAACCAACAATTTCCCTGAATTCACTGGTAGAGTTTGTCCAGCTCCGTGTGAAGGAGCCTGTGTTTTGGGTATTAATACTCCTGCTGTGGCAATCAAAAGTATTGAAGTGTCTATAATTGAAAAAGCATTTGAAATGGGTTGGATGAAACCAATGCCTCCGTTGACGCGAACCGGCAAGAAATGTGCTATAATTGGCAGTGGACCTGCAGGATTATCTTGTGCTCATCAGTTGAATAAAGTTGGACACACAGTTACTGTATATGAGAGAAATGACCGTGTCGGTGGACTCTTGCAATATGGTATACCGACCATGAAATTGAGTAAGAAAATTGTTCAACGACGAATTGATTTGCTAACTGCTGAAGGTATCAATTTCAAAACCAATTGTGATATCGGAAAAACAATCAATGTAAAAGACTTAATCGATCAATATGATGCTGTCTGTGTTGCCACGGGAGCCACTTGGCCTCGAGATTTGAATATTCCTGGACGGGAGCTTAATGGCATTTACTTTGCCATGACTTACTTGGAAACTTGGCAAAAACAACAAATGCCTGGCATTCTTAATGGCACCAATGGTCCTCTGCCTAAGCCTACAATAAGCGCTGAAGGTAAGAATGTGATTGTTGTTGGCGGTGGTGACACAGGGTGTGATTGTATTGGAACAGCTCTTCGACAAGGTGCTAAAAATGTAATCGCATTTGAAATTTTGCCTCAACCTCCTGATACTCGCGGAGCAGACAATCCATGGCCACAATGGCCACGAATATTCCGAGTCGAGTATGGTCATGAAGAAGTTAAACTTCGAACCGGTAAAGATCCAAGATTGTACCAAATCTCAAGCAAAGAGTTCCTTGATGATGGTGCAGGCAACGTTAAAGGAATCCGAGCAGTGTCCATAGAATGGGTCAAAGACGATAAAGGAGCTTGGAAAATGTCTGAAGTTCCTGGTTCAGAACAAGTATTTGAAGCTGATCTCGTTCTTTTGGCCATGGGTTTCCTTGGACCTGAATCGTATCTAATTGAACAAGCCAAGCTTGAGAAAGACGCTCGATCCAATATTGTTACTCATACCGATGGGTATCAGACGAAAGTGTTAGACAAAGTATTTGCTTGTGGTGACTGTCGTCGAGGACAATCTTTAGTGGTTCATGCAATCAACGAAGGACGACAAGCAGCTCGTGAGATGGACGCATATCTGAACGCAGGACACTCTGGACTTTCTGGACCAGGAGGCGTAGTGCCGTTCCCACCTTATGTTGCCAAGATTCAAGCCTAAAAAAGACGAGAATTGAAAGATCAACATAATTCCAGAAAACACTGAAAGAAAACAATCAAAATGAACCAAAAAATCCTAAATTGTATTATCCTTAAATAAGCAATAATAAGTTTTCCAGAAAGCGACTTTTAATGTGGTTTGCCTTAAAACGTGAAAAAAACTAATCAAATAATTCTTTCAACAAAAGCAGTTAAACAGCTCTTGAATTAATTTCTAAGCGATTATTTTGGTTCTTTTAATTGTTTTAATTTATCTCTTTTTAATTGGCACCAGCCAGCGAAAACCGAAAGAGTAAAGATTCCTTCCAACAACCAAAGTGATTTCTCTCTCTCCTTTTGTTTGCATTTCATGGCTTTCAATCATCTTGTCTGTGTCTTAATCTTGATTGCTTGTAAAATTGTCTCATGTTAACTGTATTTAAACTCACCTAAATGTAAAGTAATTTAATCGAATTAATTGTTAGCTAATTCGATTCATTTGGTATCTTTTACCATCCAATGTTTTTTTGTGCTCGAATTAATTGCAGTGATTCAACAAAGTGAAGAGTTACTTAAAACAAAAAATACATATTTCAATTGGTGATACCAACATTTAATCTAGAGTAAGGCCAATTAAATAATTCTAATGATAAAATCAAATATATTTATATTAGTTGAATTGTGATTAGTGTTTAACTGATTGCATTTGATTTGAATAAATCATGTATTATTTTGTTTTCCTCATTTATAATTATCATTAACTTTCAATCTATTGTTTTTGGATTGCTTTTACAATAAAGTTTACCTTTAGTCTTAAATCTGTTGTAAATTATTTAAATTGATTACCTCAATCAATAAATTGAAGTAAATTAACCCAATAAAATGAAACAATCATAATATTTATATTAAATGCATTTAGTTTTAAAATATGACAACAAATGTTTAAATATACAACTTGTTATTAATCAGTTTTACCAAAACAACTCCATAACAATTAACATTATATTAAGTTTAATAAAAAGGGTAGAAAATTGAGATTTTCAGGGAATTTTCAGGATAATCAATTTGTTTATGAGTGGACAATCAAATGTTTCAACGGATTCTTTGATGTAGAAAAGTGGACAAAGAAAATGGTCAAAACAAAATGTTTAAAATGGACTTTGAAGGCGACCAGTTTGTGATCAAGAAACAAGCTTAAAATTGAAATTGACGTTCATCGAGACATTGATATAACAGTTATCATTGATCAATTACATAATATAATATAATAATATTCAACTCATGAACATGCTTAAGGCATAAGGAAGTCATAAAGTAATTTAAACCTTGGTATAGCAATAAAGCTGAAAAAAGGACAAAAAAAGGAAATCAAAATTGAAAAAGATGTGGCATTGAAAATCTTGTAATGAAGTTGGATGGAAGCTAAAATATGTTTTTTTTGAATGTTACATGAGAGAAGAAAAGTCAATGTTTACTTTAAATGTTTGCTCAACCAGAATTACCATGAAATAATTAACAAAATTTAAATTTCCAATCAAGGTGATTTGGTTGTAATGAAATAAATGTTGCTTTGTTTGTATGAGATCTGAGTTATTTGGGATTATTAACATTCATTGGTGACAAATTATATTCTCTCTAATTTACTTGTAATTTTTGATAGCTGAATTTGGTGGTTCCGATGCGTATAAAATGGGTTAAACGAACAAAAAGAAAAGATAAAAAAAGATAAAAAAAAGGTTCGATCAAGCAACGGTTTCCAGAACAATATTGTTTATAATTTAACTTGACTATCATCATAGCTTGCTCCAAATCCGAATGAGAAACGAGCTTGAAGTTTACTGGCCAACTCAAAGAATGACGATTGACCTTTACCAGTTGGCATGATTGGTTCAGCCAGAGGAAGAGGTTCAGAGGGAAGTGACGGTGTAGAGTCAAGGGAACTGGTTTCCTCTTCCTCCAATGTTAACGGTGGGATGGATGCTGACTGTTTCTCCATTATTTTAATATTACGCATGGCACAATGAACCCGGAAATGAACCATTGTTTCCAACAGATAACCAGTGTAATCTTTACGAGACTTTTCCAGCCATCGACGAGCAGCTGGAAGGTCATTCAGACGAACATAAGTTAATCCAAGTTCCATTGCTGCATGAGGAGCCAGATAAGTATCTCGAGCAAGTCGTTTCTCACTAAAAAAGGAAAACAAAAAGATGTTAAAATAATTTCTTGGAATCCAAATCCATATATAAAAATATCACTCCCAACATTTCCAAGTATTACTGGAACATTGATACTTACTTATCAATAATTTCAAGGAAACACTGTTCAGCCTGATAAGGAAATCCCATACTTCTTAAGCACATTCCCTTCATTAAAATTAAATCCAAATAATCATCTAATGGTTTCTCGGAGTCATCTGCAAAGGATTGTTAAATAATATAAATTGCGTTAATATTGAGTTATAATTAGAAGATACAAATGTTAATGTTTGCCTTTGTCCGATAATATGGAAAAGGTTCGTACCGATTTCGCTCTTAAGAGAGTCTAATTGTTTTTCAATTAACTTGAGCATTGGATCAATCAATGTTTTATCCTTTTCCATGATGGCAAATATGTTCCAGATATATGAAAACTCTAGGACTGGAGCGATGATCCTTTTCTCACCAGAAACGAATCGTTCACTTGTTGTTATGGCAAATTTTTCCGCAGGAATCGTTTTACCAGCATATCTTATACGAAGACCAGGAACTTGTTTGAACAACTCAAATGCCTGAGCTCGTAACTTTTCATCAGGCTCAGCTTCATGGGACATGTAATAATATGAGGCTGTTTGATAGGTGTAGGTTGCTGGAGACCAGGCACATTCCTTGCGAAGTATATCAGCATATTCAGCTGCCTTTTTCCAATTACAACGGATTCTTTGGACAGAAAAGTGAACCAAATTAAATTAGAAATGATTATTAAACAAGTTTAGTTGAAGGTTGCTCAAAGAAAGGGTTGATTATTGTGCTAAATTGAGTGTAAAATTTAAGGTAATTGAATAACTCACGTGTAACACCAAAGAAGCTCCCAATAGCAAATGTTATGAAGTTGTTTCCATTGGTTCTGAATTGCAATGCATTTTTCAAAGTTTAAAATAGCTTCACTTAATTTACCTTCAAGTTGATTGATCCGACCAGCAAACAAGATGAAGAAAGCGCTCTGAATACAAAAATAAAGTAAAATAGAAAAGTTGATTACAGTTAGAATAATGAGAATTATGAAAACTACTGATGTAACATGAAACTGAATGGATAACCAATCGAGACAATCAGATACACAAGATTTCAACGTGAGTTGTCAGTTTGTGCGTTTCAACCTGATTATTGATTAATTATCGATCATAATTCTTTCTTTCAATTATGATATTTCAAGACTATCACCATGTGGATGTAAGTGTATTTAGTAAATAAGATGCTCAGTAATTTGATTAGTTCTTACATTTGGATATTTTTCCATAGCACTGGACAAAATGTTGGTTACAAGAGTTAAATCTTCATTACCCAAACCAAAAAGATGTTCAATGTAACAAAAGTAAGCCATCATAATTAACTTGGCTAATGGTGATCTCAATCCGTCAGTGATTGCAGTTGAAGCTTCCAACTCAGTGAAACCAATTGACCGATTACCAGAGAAACCAACGAACTCCAAAAGTCGCAAAACTTTACTTGGTAAATGGGAAATCATCAAATTAAATGTTCCTAATCCCATGCGAACTCCCGATTCAAAATGCCTTTTAACCTTTTCAGATGACCAGGAAACCCTTTGATTTAATATGTTATTACACTCCTTATAAGTTTGGAAACATGATCGAATCCTTAAAGCTCCTTTAACTAAACTAATCAAGTTTTGGTCTTGTAAGAAAGTCATCAAGGCAATCATCAATTGAGCTTCAGCATAAACCAGCTCAGCATGGATTTGATCTGAAATGAAAAAACGTTGATTAAATGGTTAATACCGACATTATAACAGACATTGTTTCAACCAGAATATAATCCTAACTCATATTACCTTCAGTGTAATTGTTGTAATTTGGCTTCCAGACAACTCTGGCCACTGAGTTACTTTGATATTTCTTTATTTGGTAAAGGTCAATAACGTGTTTTAATGAATCCATTGTATTCTTAATTTGAGCCTGAGACAAAAGACAATTTCGCTGTCAGAAACTGGTTACACCTAAAGATCATTTGGTAACTTACATGTTCCAGGGTCAGAACACCTTTGAAAAAAGTGAGTGTAGCCGCGCCAAGTGCATGATAAAGACTAACCTCAGCCCTATATAAATGAAAATTAGGAAACAGTCAATAATCAGTGAATAAATGAATGTCTAAAACAATGTAACCAACCATTTATCAGCAATTTGACCAGCTTCTTCAAATTGGTTGCTCAGAGCGAGTTCCAATACTCTGGTTACTTCTTCCATTGATTGCTCTAAACTTGGTTGTCTGTGAAAATTACAATTAAAGATGTTACAATAGTAATCAAATAAATGATGTTTCTCTCGTTTTTCGTGCATTTCTATCGATTAAACAATTACATTGTAATAAGTGTGTAACTTACGAATCGTAATATTTTATCGGTTAATTCGAAGACGATAAATGTTTATAATAACAATTGTTCAGCTTATTTAGCTTCATTTATTGCTTGATCACTCAAATATAGATAATTAACTTACTCTTCTTGGATTTCTTCAATCAATTGTGTCTCCTTAATAGTAACACCATCGTCAGTTGCATCCAGGAAAATCTGTAAATATTGGATGAAACATTGAATTTTTAATCAATTGGTTAAGATAGTTAAAATAAATTGTTCTAACAACCTGATTCAACCACAATACACTGTAAAATTATCATTAAATTGAGTAGATGAGTTAAGAAAGCTCAACCAAATCAATTAACCTCGCTAACCATCAATCAAGCAGGTTTTTGCAAATTTCAAACAAATCTTCTCAACCAAAAATGACTTTACGAAGTACAACTTGATAATTAAGATGATTTGTTTCGATGTTTCGAGCTAATTGTTTATTTAAAACTCATTGATTATCGTATATTCACTCAATTGTTGCTCATGAGTATATCAATTATCCAATATTATGAATTAAATACATAACAAGATCAATCATTAGCAGTCTATTTAATGTTTGGGTTAACAAACAACCTAAAAAATGAATGAAGGTGAAACACAAAAAAAATTGATTCTCAGTTAAATTCACTTTTTAATGATCATGAAATTAGCAAAATGAAGATCATATTAAGCTTTGATCTAAAAGCGTAATCAACATTTAGGAAATAATTGTTAATATTGTTTTTGAGTAATTTTAATTCTAAAATTAGAAATTGAATTGAACTTGATTTTAGCTGGTTAATAAACCATCAAACCCGATTAACCAGATTAAAATTGTAACCTTGTTTTGCTTTCTGTTTACCCAAATTAATTGAGTTCAAACTGATCAAACAAACTATAATCATTGTCATTCAAGTTTAATCATTCAAGGCAATTAACTGATATTCAGAGGTTTAACATATTATTACATGACTTTCGTTAATAAACCTTCAAATTGAATTAATATTTACAATTGAGGCATAAAAATAATGGAAAGGTTAAAACTTGTTGAATGATTACAAAGAAACCTTTTGCTATTAAAATCAACCATTATAATTGAACTGTGGTTAGTTGATCAACTATCAACAAAGGCCAGTCTTGATAAACAATTAAGGACGCCATTGAATTGTAAAGGTTAACCATTTGTTAGTAAATTACAATTTCAATGTTGATCAGCCACAAAATACTAAAACCATTTTCAATGTAAAGTTGATTTATAAATAGTTAATTAGTGATGATTGGATTATTTTCGGAGAAAATTTTTATCCAATCATCATCAATGTTTAGCAATGATTAATCGTTGTTGCTACTCAATATTCACTGATTACTTAATTTGCTAATGATCACAACATCATAACGAGAAGCAAACCAACATCTGAAGCGAGTTAAAAGTGAAATTATTGACGAATGCAACCAATTAACATGATTTGTATTTTATACGAAACTTAATCAATTCAAATTGTCCCCGCATTTTAAGCTGTGTTCAGCTCCCTTGATAGGAAAATGACCTGAATCACGAAGAAGAAAAACGATTGAGAGCATCAAATAGATTGAAACTATTTAAAGTAACTCTACAAGAATCAATTTAAATATTGAAATTACTAATTAAGTAATGATGGATAAATGAAATGCTAACATGAAACTAACATCAATAATGGAACAAAAGAAAAAGCGAGAGTTAGTATCTGACAGAATTGAAACAAAATCCTTTCTAACCTTGAAGATTTGATTGAAATGATTCATATTGATCACATTATCGTGCTCATGAACATTAAGATGTCTGAATTAAAGCAGAAAAATAATAAAACTTGATTCATTGAAATCAATTATTCAGTTACCTAAAGGTCTAGTTATTACTACTAGATTTAATAAATTTTTTGTTAGAAGACTTTATGTGCGACTTTTTCTACAAATTATTCATTGGAATTGAACAATGTCTGAAAGCTCAAAAAAACTGAAAATCTCATACTTTGTTCATTACTGCAAGTCTTGCTCATACAAGTTGCTTGCTTGGACTGGTGAATCGGACTATGAAACCAGAAAAGCTTTAGAACGCTTTGACAACCTAAACAAATTGATGTTCATTAGCTTACGTGGTGGACAAAAGCAGGAGTACGATAAACCGATCAATTTGAAACTATGGATAGGAAACTGGATCATTCGTATCGCAATACTTTTAACTTTTATCCGACTTAATTTGTTCTTGTACTTTGATGAAAGTGACCAGTTAGATTTATATCTTGCAAATCCTTTTCCAGACTCCAGACGACAGAAGAGTACCTTTATGGCAATATTAGGTGTTGTTACTATTGTAATCTTTTCATTGCTCCGTGAATATTATCATTACATCGAACGAGCTGGTATTTTAATTGCTCTTAGAATTTTTTTCACCATTCGTAACCGTGGGATCTATTGGAAACCTTTGAAATTCAATGAAAGAAGTGCACAATTTTGTAATAAAATTGTCTACTTAATCATGGCACAGGGAGCTCGTCTCATGGTTTTTGTCTGGTTCTATTCGGCAGCATTAGTCTTCATATTGCATCTGAGTTATCCAGCAGCATATTCAAGTGGAGTTCACATTTTTTTCATACTTTGCATTATTCCTAGTGAAATTGTTACGTTTGGTTTGCTTTTCAATGGACTAGTGAGTCTTGGAATATATCTTTGGACTTTTATTGCAGTTTTCAATGCACAACTGGAAGCGATTAGAGACGAGATTAAAAACTGTCTGAGAAGATGTTCGTTGAGTCCTGCAGGTTTAAGCCGAATCAATGAAAAGATGATTCAGTTTATGAATGAAATTGAGGAAACATATCGTCGCTTAGATTATCTTCATCTCTACCTGATGGGACTCATTGCCCTTCAAGCTGATGTTATGCTGCTATTTTCACTGATATTCAAGCTTTTCCCTAATTTCATTTCTTCGCTGGTCACATTTGGAGGAATCTTGATTCACTTTTTTCTTGTTATTGGCAATCTTTGGGCTTCTAGTTATTACACAAAAGTAAGTTCAATTTTCACAACTCGATGCACTTATAAATTTATTAATCATTTTATCTTGATATCAAATATTTCAAGACGCTAAGTATACATGGACATTATACTGGACTTATATTGAATACAAAAGCAAACTGCTCTGCTCGATTCAAGGTATGTTACAGTTAGAATTGAGAATATTCAAACAGGATTGAAGGAAAACTTGAACTCTATTATGTGCATAGGCATTAGAAGTCCAAGATCGAATCAACGCAAGACAGACTGGCGTTGCAATTGGAAATTTGTGCCTGATCACTCCTTCGTTTTCTTTACTCGTGAGTTCGCCAATCGTTTTTTGGGCAATTCAATGAATACTAATGCATGTTACTCATTTCAGTTCATTTTGGAAAATATCAACTTCATTATGCTTCTAACAGTCAACATTAGAACGCTCGTTTGATATTTAGCAGCATTAATGTAAATAGCAAACGATGAACGAAGGAAAGGGACGATTCGTTAAAATCGTTGCTTTGGTTTGTTACACAAAGTTACTTACAGATGTTTGAAAGTGCACAAAATGTAAATAATAACTTTTAATAAAATTAAAGAAACATTGCGCATATCATTTGAACTAAAAGCATCAGAGTTGCTTAGTTAGCTAAGGATAAGAGCATTTGCATCTAGAGTCATTAGAACACATTGAGAACATTCAATGAAGCGACTTGCTACTGGACTTTTCAGTCAATAGTTGAAACTTTTTCAGTTTTTCTTAGTTTTGCTTAAGACGAATGTCTTGATCACACAATTAAGGACGCCATTGGATTGTAAAGGTTAACCATTTGTTAGTAAATTACAATTTCAATGTTGATCAGCCACAAAATACTAAAACCATTTTCAATGTAAAGTTGATTTATAAATAGTTAATTAGTGATGATTGGATTATTTTCGGAGTAAATTTTTATTCAATCATCATCAATGTTTAGCAATGATTAATCGTTGTTGCTACTCAATATTCACTGATTACTTAATTTGCTAATGATCACAACATCATAACGAGAAGTAAACCAACATCTGAAAGTTGAATGAAAAGCGAGTTAAAAGTGAAACTTAATCAATTCAAATTGTTCACGCATTTTAAGCTTTGGTCAGCTCCATTGATAGGTAAATGACCTGAATCACGAAGAAGAAAAACGATTGAGAGCATCAAATAGATTGAAATTATTTAAAGTAACTCTACAAGAATCAATTTAAATATTGAAATTACTAATTGTCACCCTAATTGAAGTCTTCATTGAATCATCAATTTTCATAAAAAATTGCTCAACATTTTGATATAAATTATGAAAAATGTTTACCATTAAAATGAACATTTAAAGATCATTATTGGTTTATTTTATAGTGAAGATGATTAAATAGCAATTCAAGTAAATATGTAATGATGGATAAATGAAATGCTAACATGAAACTAACATCAATAATGATTCTATTAACAATGGTGACACTACTAATGGTCAACAGAGTTAAATGTGATTAAAGACTGGAATGTTGGGAATGAAATTGAAATTCAACAATCAACCGATACCAATACAATTTACTTCCGCAATTGAAAGTTAATATTATGTATAAATATATGAAAGAAGATGATTATTATTAAGAAAAAAAAGTAGGAATTAATTAGTTGATAATAGCGTAATTGATGATGAAAAATGATTATATTCAAGGATCAATCATGTAGCGAACAATGAATTTAGGTTTTTGCAAACTGATGAACACAATAAACCTAGAAAAATAATGAAGATGCGGTTTTCGATGAGAAAAATGGAGACACAAGATGAGGAAGATCACAAGTTATCATCTCTTTCTCATCATATTATCAAATTATAATATCAGGTTGAATGAACCTTATATTGTAACGTAATTACAGGTAAATAATGGATACAAACAAAAATACATGTCAAAATACATACTTTCCTTATTGTCTATTAACCTTTTTTAAATTGTTTTGCACATCAGGCACCTTTAACCATCGACCTGATTAAATTTTAAACGTTTAACAATAATCTATTTAACATTCAAACACCAATTTTAACAGTAAGTTGAAAGGTGAACCTTAAAAATAGCCATTTAACATTGAATTTCAATTTTGGGTTTAAATGTTATTTGGTTAGATTTAGCTTTTTCTGGTTTGCTTTTACAAGCTTTAAGGATAAAAAGTAAACATTTATTGACAATGGAAAGTTGTCAATCCAAATGGACGGTAAATTAATGAGGCAATTTGTTAATATTATTTGGTTTCGGGCTTCTTCAGGTCAAACCTTAAAATAGTAGTTTTTTGAGCGAACCAGAAACTGGTCAAAAGGTGTGTGTTTGTGTTAAATGGTTACTGGGTTTCGGGTGTGAGTCTGTTTGGAGTCATCTTTGACCTAGAACTGGTTTCTACTGATGTTTGGTTTTATGGCTGAAAAAGTTGATTATCATCGTGATATCATCATTTAATGAAAATGTGAAGCACCATTTAACGCCAGTAATAATCATATTCATCGTAAACTAAAATAAACCTTTTTCATCTCAATTCTTGGTCAGCATCTTTCATGGTCATCAGTTATGCAGAGAAACCATTTGCTGTCTTGAGAGAAGGATTACTTTAAATTAGATGAATTAGATTTACTGATGATTATAAGGTGATCTTTTTTTGGATACCCAAATTAGACTTGAATACATGTAATATTATATTGTTATATTCATGAAATGTTAAGGGTTACAGGAGATTTCAATTTGTAAGCTAATATTTCATTCACCTTGTTGGTGTATTATTTGCCTTTTTGCGGTTTTTTACATGTAATTTTAGCATTGAATGTAATCACTTTTTAGAGCAATGAATAAATATATGGATCAATAAAGTGGTTAAGTATTTGTTGGTATGTTAAATAGTTGAACAGCTGAACAAGCAAGGCAAATTGTTGGAGGACAATTGGCGTTGTTGGAAACGATTTGACTGATTTGGTTGGAACAATGAGAATTAAAAAGTATATTTATATTTAAAACAATGATTGTTTAACTAACCTCATCATCAAAAGATTCACAGGGTTGATCAATGATCTTTTCCTTGATTTCACCGCGTTCAGTTCCGTCAACTTGTCGAATTGTCATTTTGAATTAAATTTGGCTTTCAATCAATTTTCCTCTTTTTATCCTTTCTTTTGTCTATTGTTGACCCCAATCCTTATTAGCGATCCTATTAAAAGGGTAACAGGAAATTAATGATGATGTCGTTATATTGATTGCTTTCAATACATCATTGATATAAAGTAAAGAGACATGATGATGAGCCACAATGAAAACAATTTATAATTTCAAGATGAATATTTTGATTAAACAGTTTTGATCTATTGATTAAAGATGTTTCATTGAAATTAGATGTTTTTAAAGAGGCTTCATCACACATGTGGACATTGAAACAATGGAAACATACAATTTGACGATTACTACGTGATGGCAATAGCGTTGTTGGTTCTGGTTGACAGTAGATGAGAATAGGTAACAATTTAAAATGTTGAAGCACTCTTGAAGCTACATTTGGTGAACATTGAATTGAAAATGAACCGGCTCAACGAAAGATTCATCTAAACACTGATTCAACTCTCATCCAACTTTGTTTTCATCATTTAAACTTTCTCCCTCTTCTCCTACTCTTTTTGCTCACTTGTTACCAAACTCTCATAATAGACTTACTTCCTTAACTCTCTCACATTCGATCTCTTTCATTACTTTTCTTTCTTTTTCGCCATTTATCTTGATTCAGACATCATCCTTGTTCCCTTTCTTTATCCCTTTCTTTTTCCAACTTCCCTCTGGCTTGTTTCACTAATTCATCTTTCGCCATCATAATCGTCATTGGACTGGTTTGGCTGATTGCTGTTTATGTTGACTTCGTTATTTCGCTTGTTGTTTTTTGGTTTACTAATGATGTTGCTCGCTTAATTCAATTGTTCAAAATGTTCACTTTCAGGATAACTATCAGAATTGGTCATCAGGCTAGTGTTATAATGACAAAGATGATTATTCAACTATGAAAACGGGTTTAGCGTGTTTTCGCTGACCACACTTCTTCCTTGATTCGGCTTTTCTTTAGTGTAATACTTTTACTCAGCGATCAAACTGAATGGTGAAACATGCGAAAAGTTGCTTGTTATCATCATCATGATGCTCTTGATTAGTGGTAAATGGCTAGAAAAGAAAAGAAAATGTAAATTAATTTCTTGAATAAACATTGTTTTTAAACTGATAACTCGTTTAATCCATTGTAATGGATATGGAACGGAATCTTCTCACCTGATAATAGGACAGTAAAAAGTACAATCACCTTGAAACAGGAAGGAAACAGTTAGTGATGTAATTAGTTAATCTGAATTTCAGTTGGTTAGTTGGTTGATTTGTCTGGATGATGATTAACAGCAACAGAGCAACAAAGAAGTGAGAAAAAACAGCAACTCGATCCATCAACCAGAGTATTCTGGTCGGATTATCAGTTCCCTGGAGGAGGTAATTATCCATGAATGTCACAGCCATTTAGGTTATCAAATAATGCTTTAAAATAGTATCCATTCTGTGGCTGTTGTAGCTCATCAACAGTTAATTAAACAAATTCATCAAACTTGCAACAATCATTTTCACATGAAATCTTCAAAGCTTTAATAGCTTAAAAGCTGAAATGTCATGAACAATAAAAGGATATTCAGATTTGCTCAATCCAATCCTAATCTTTTATTATTATTGCAATCCTTTACCTGGATGCATCAAAGCCATATTGTTGCTATTAGCGAAGACAAAAATGTACAATTATTATCAAGGTCCATTGGTTCAAAATTGAAAGTGACTGGTTAAATGGAAGTGAAAGTTATCCTGGAAAAAAAAGTCTCAATATAAACCTGAAATATCATGGTTAAGCTGAACTACGTTGAAAAATCCAAACTTGTCCTGGTTTTGATTATTTAGGTTTTGCTTCAGGACAAACGATTTCCTTGTGTAAAGTGTTCAGCTAATAGCTTTCTCATTGTTTGATCACCTAACAGTTTGAAAGATTTTGATACAAAAAATGAAACATTGTTGGAAAGTGCAATAATTACCAATCAAATTGACTGCAATCGATTACATAGTCCTTTTACCTAGGGCTTAATTCATCATCTATCAGCTTTGTCATGTGTTTAGTATCCAATTAAATATAATATCTTGCAAGGTTGTACTCCTTTAATTGTACTGCGTTCCTTAATTTCAAGAAATCTTTCAGAAATAAAAGTTTCAGTTATTTCTGCATTTCTATTTCGCCCCTGAAAAAACATCAGATTACATGGGACAGCTATTGATGCTTTAACCAGTCAGTTGATGTTTATACTTTGTACATTTGTGTGATTAATTGATGCGACAATGATCTTGAAGAGCATAAGATTGACTTGGAGAAGACAAACAAAATATCTCTTACAGTAGAGTACTCCATAACTTGGTAGAATTTCGTGTTGGCGCCACCTATTGGATTAACAATTTCAGAACCATTTTTATCCAATTATTTAATTTTTTTAATCAAAATAGCTTGAAATTTAGCCAAAAAAGTTGAATTAGCGAGTCGACATTACATAAAAATGGTTTTCCTCCAGTATTAATCAGTTTATTCTTCTAATAACTAGAATGTCTTTTTTTCAATGCTGCTCTTCACTTTTGTAGAGATGCGAAAATGTTCTATTCTATTGAATAATCAAAATAATGAGTTTCTGACTTATTCCGATTTGTTTAACAAGAAATTTCTAATAATTCTAGTAAAGTTGACTCGCTAATTCAACCTTTTGTACTTGAATTTGAGTAATTTTGCTTAAAACAATTAGAAAATTCAATTAAATGGTCAAATCCAATAGGTGGCGCCAACACGAAATTCTACCAAGTTATGGAGTACTCTACTGTATGTGGTTAACGACAACAGCAATTCATCGGTCAAATAATCACTCAAAAAGTGAATAATCCAGGATTTTAATGTTGATCAAACAACAGTAATAGCAAAAATTTTGTCCCATCCATTCACTTTGCTAACGTTTTTAACAATACAATTGTTGAGATGAAAATTTGATGCAATACAATACATCTTGATGTGGTATAATTTTCAGTCAGGTTATCCTATTGTCTTGAGAGCAAAAATCAATTTCAACGACCCATCAATGTTGACCAGTTTTATTTGTTTCCAAAACTTGTTCATCATAAAAAGCTTTTTTCAGGGTTAACTTCGATTTTCATTATCCATTAGAAATAAATACTCGTTTAGTTGTTTTCAAAATAAAATTTCGTTTACCTAAATTAACCAAAATCTTGTTGACTAGATCAATGTTTTATAATGCAAAAAATGGTAATTAACCTTCGAATAAACCACAGTAATTGCTGGGATATTTTGTCAATTTAACTGGTAAACGTTACGAGTGATTGTTATCGCAATTGATATTGACAGCGCAATTGATGTGTACAATAATCATTAAAATTTAAAGCTTAAAATGAATAATTTTCAGCAAAATCTAAAGCCATAACAACCATTGGAATCAAAGTGTTGATGTAAGTGGGAATAAATGCTCTGCGTATTTCAATTATATGAAAAATAGTAATCGGAACGTATGAAACTCTCAATAATTCGGATTTGATTAAAATGCTTTCATAAATAGCTCTGATCTTATGGACATTGGTGGTTGAGTAGTAAACGGCACTGTCCAGAGATTCATTGGACATGTCCATGATGTAATTAGACAACTTCAAGTCTGTTAGAGTGATTTTATCAACCAAATTGATGAGCACAATAAGCAAAATGGTTATATTTGTAAATAGAGTAAATTTATCAACTAAATAATGCAAAGTGACAGCATTTCCCGATGGAATGGTTCGATTTGCCCGAAATAGACACAAAAAAGACTCAAATAAGTATCGACCAAACCAGACAGCGGGTAAAGCGTTTAAAGACGATTCTAGGGAACGTTTGATTGATGATAATCGTATCCATCCAATTCTGATGCGGAATAAATGGTAATAATATGGTAGCTCTTCAATTACAGGTGTTATCGTTTTCAATTGCTTCTTTGGTACAGAATTATCGGACGCCTGGGTTGATATTTTTTGATGAAATTTGTTGTAAAGCAAGTGGAGGCGATAATATGAGCATAAATAAAATATAACCGATGCGTAAACAACTCCATGAATTACAAGGATTCGGCAAATCATGGTAACACAAAGCAAGATCAATTTTGACTCGAAATTTAAACTCCATAATGGGCCATAAAAAAAGCGAAACAATTCATCAACAGTACCAGTTTGGACCCAAGAATATATTTCAAATGCCAAAAGACCAATCAAAAGTAATGCAAATTTGTTGCTTGATTTTTTGACGATTTCAATCTCTTCCAGGTTTATGTACTGGTTGATGTTTGAATAAACTTGAATCCACTTTGATCGATTAAGATGTATTAAAATTAACTGCAAAAGACCAGTGAAGGACCGTGTAAGTTCAATAAAAAGGCTTATATTATTATCGCCAAGACCAATGATTTGGTAAAGGAAAAAGGCACAATTGGTTAAAGAAATCACGTAAATAAATAGATTGTAAAAAATAAAAAGACGAGGAACAGTTGCTGAATTAACGGGTATTCCAACAATCCAAAAAATCACAGTTAAAAATATATTTTCCACAATTATCATGATTAAACAAGCAAGAAAACAAACCTTCAAAATGGCTGGTTGATGTTGCCAATTCAAAGCTTTTGTTCAATCTTTACCGTTGACTCACAGCTTAACCAGAAAGCGAGGGAAAATAATAAACCTTTTTATCCAACGGTTATTTTTGCTAACCAATTATCAAACCATTTTGTTAACCAGGCAACTTAAGATACAATTTAAAGTTGAACTCTTAGTGATCACTAAAAGTATAAAATAGTCCACAACTTATATTTTAACAATAATAAAGTGCCATTCTGGTTATCTGGATATTTCTATGAATTTACCCAAAAGATGGACAGTTAGAAGGAAACTTTTAGTGAAAAACATATTTTCTTTGATCAATGGACATTTATTGAAGTGGAAATGCTTTAGATATTGAACATTAACGATGCAAATCAAATAATTGAACCAGTTTTGTGACAATGATGAGCTCAAATAAGAGCACTTTTGCTGTCCATTTTTGTTGTTGTTTCATTGTTTATGGTCACTTTGAGCTTGTAAATTACAATAATATTAACAAATCTTAAAAAGTGATACACATAATTGCAAATATTCATGGAAATGTCTCTCTGAACCGATTGATTTTGAACTTTACAGATTTTTCTTTACTGAGTTGAAACAACTGTTAATTGAAAGGCGATCTTATTGATCACTAAGAGCAGCATGACATTGTAAATGCTGGTATGGTAATGAGATACTTAGACAATTAAATATTAATTACTTTGCTTTCATTTAATAACAATTAACTGTTTTTAATGCTCTAAGTTTTAAACTTATCATTTATGTTTCTCATTCAATCCGAGATTTAAAGATGAATCGTATTCGTTTCAGCATTAATGATTGGTTTGCAAATCAATCAGTACATCTATTGGATACAATAAATGATGAATAACAATGAAAAGTGTCTCGATATTTAGTTGAGAATCATGTTTAATTGTTGAAATATTGATTCGCCAACGCCAAATGTCAAAATTTTAGGAATCAATTTGACATTCAATTTCAATCGATTGTTCTTTTGTACAAATTAAAAGTATTCATCAGTTATTCTGGTTCATTTTATTGAAATGAATTTTTAACCATCATGATTGAAGTGAAAATTAAAGCATTTTGTATCAATCAAGAAGTCAATAAAATATGAACAATATATTTTCAGAATGTAACAGTTTTGATAAATTGAAATAACTGTTGATTGATGATTAAGTCTGTGAAAAGGCTAAAAATTACTCGCCTGGTTGGAATGATCAAAGTATTTATTTTTAAAATCAAATACAAATTGTAATAACATAATTGAATAAATCTCTTTATTGTCAACAAAATACTACAAATA